TGAACACAGTTCTGGGGTATTTTTAACAGCAGTCATCATGTAACACACATGTATGATTTGATTATAACAGTTGTGTGATTTAACACATCATTGCTAATATGAGATTGTGTTCTTTGTTTAGAAGATTATTTTAAACTTTTTACTTCATATTTTGTTTGAGTAAAATCAAGTTTAAATGTCTTCAGATAATAAGCATAATGGGCATATTATACTTTATGATTGTAAAGAAAAAAATTATAAAAATTAGGATGAAATACAGGTTTAAAAAATCTAAAAAAATACAATATTGAAGACTTATAGGTCAGGTGTGGTTTGTCATGCCTGACATAAACAAAAAAAAATGTTTGCATTCTTAAACATCCTTTCACAATCACTGTAACATAGTCAACATTGATGGAGTTGATATTCTTTTATAGGCTCTTTTCCACCTATATTTATGTAAATTGGTTAGAAGTTTCATGACATTGGATATCTTCAAAAATTTTCATTGCAGAGAAAAATTTTCAAAAATTCTATTCAGAATGTAACAAGATAAAATTTTTGAAGATATCTGATATCACAGAACTTATAACCAGTTTATATAAATGTAGGTGAGGAAGAGCCTATGAAAGAAGGTTGACTCCACCAATATTGATTGTGTTCCAGTGATTGTGAAAAGATGTTTAAAAAGACTGTAAAAGGTTTTTTATATTTGTCTTCAACATTGTATATTTTTTTTACATTTTTTAAATATACTTTCTGAGTTTTGTAAAGGATATAATGTCATACAAACAGTAAACATAATTTGTAATGTGTATGCTTCTGAACTTTGAACATGTCAAATGTGGCTTAAAAAGTTCCATTTGGAAAATTTTGAACTAAAAGATGCAAAATGTATGAGGCATCCAAAAGCTATCAATGATGAAAAATTGCTGAAATAATTTTTAGGAAGAAATTGTTAAATATCAATGAATAACACACAATATAAATAACCAAACACATCAAAAATACAGAGGGAAAAAAGCACTGAAAACATACAAGTGTAATTGTGAGAGCAAGAGATGACTTGGTTGCACAACAGATTGCATTTATACTTTGAGCGTATTTTTCCACTATGCTCTCAGTTAAACTTCAAAGCATTATTTGAACTCTGAAGTGAATTTTTGTCAGATTTACCATTTGAACTCAAAAGTGTTCAAGGTTAGTTGTTTGAAGTACCAGGTACCATTGTATTATGATTCCTGAGTTTGTAGAAGTCTTTGTTTGTCAGCAAGACTTACATTATATTTGCTATTTGGCTACATTCATGTACAGTATATTTCCACAGATAAGATGATAGTTGAATCATAAAAAAAGGCTCCCAAAATCTGGGGTCGTCTTATAGGACAGATACAAAAAACAATTAGATTGAAATTTATATAAATTAAAATCATTATAAAAAACAGAAAAACTGTAATTATTTACTAGTAGAGAGTAAGGTATGTCCACAAAATAGAATAGCCCATACAACGTTTTTGTGAATAGTCAAGGTCATTACCCGAATGCCCAAATCAATGCAAATGTTTGCAACAATAGCAAGGCAGTACTGCCATATGCAAGAAAATAAAATTTGTTCATTTGAAAAATTACAAATAAGACATAATTCTGTATATGCTATACAGTGTTATTGTCCAGATGATGATTGCTGATCTAAACTAAATTCATAGGCTGTTGATAGTTTGGGGTCGTCTTATAGGATAGATATATGCTAAAACTTTGAAACTTTGACGAAAATTTATACCTCATCTTATCTGAAGGTCGTCTTATCTGCGTAAATATATGATAAGTAGTATGTTTGTAATCTTCTGAAACCGTGTTTTCTTATGACTTTGATTCACTAACACAAGATGTGTTACAATTTCAATACTTGGTGATATTCCATCTTTATTTAGTTGAGATGGTTACAAGTACGATAGCACGTTTCGGACACTGCCCCTCCTCAGTCAACTAAATATCAAAAAATTTTTATACATAAATTCGTTTTCTTATAATAGCTTAACATAGAAGATTATTTTAATTAAATTAATAATTTTTTTCGCGTGATGTACCATAAGTACTTTTTCCAACACAGAAAGCATATACATTCATAGGACTGGCATAATATTATACATCTGTTTTTGGTTTTGGAGCGTTCCTACAAATTTTATAAATTTGCATTTTATTTTACATATTATAGAAATCCATAAAAATTCTTTCACCCATTATTACATACCTTAAAAATTTTTTCCCTCTGTTAATCTTTTTACAATAAAGTATTTAAAATCTTCATGTATAAATAAAACAGGTTTTACCAGCACAGAATTTACTTGCACCTAATTTAGACTAACAACCAACTCATAAATATGAAACTATTATAACTGGTACATAATAGGTACATAGTTAACTGATACATAAATTTATTACAGTACATTAATATTAAAAGTATGTACCTGGAAATAATTTCCTTAAAAAATATTTCAAATGGTTTAAGATTAAAATCTCTCTATAAAAAGGTTCTTATATTTCTGGTACACTAATTAAAGGATTACAGATTAATAGACTTTCAAGAGTTTTATATAATGGATCACTAAACATTACACAACACTGATAGCCACGTCTGCATCCAGTCATAATGCGGATTTATACAAATTGACATAATTTGGCAAAATACAATTTTTTAATTTACAATTTACATACTTTTATTTAGTTTAATCTATTTTAATATTAATATAAATAATTAATTATAAAACATTTAACTAGTTTTCACTTATTTTGTGATTTAAATTTTTATTAATACAATTTTTGGTTTTAAGAATTTCAAAGCTTTCTTTGAATTTTCTATTGTATGTATTTTTTTTCATGTAGAATTTCAACGTTTAGTTTGTTGATATTACAATCATTTAATAAACAATGATCATGAAATACAGAATTTATTATGTTTTAAATCTGCAATATGTTCTTTTAATCTTACATCCAATTTATGTTTTGTTTTGCCAACAAAAATAGTATGTTTATGTTAAAAGCTTGTAACCCAATATGACAAGTTGTATACATCTGTGAGTGTTGTCTTTTAAGATGTGCTTTCTGTAGTTTGTTGTATTAATGACCTGGCTTGAATGGCAATCATGAATTCTTTCATCTTTCCAAAGTGGTATCCATGAATCAGCAGCAGTTTGATGCAGTTCTGTCAACATGATCTTGGCTGAGAACATTAGGGTGGAGTCTTTTGAGTCCAAGACTTATAGTGTCTATGTCTCTTAAGTACTGTGTCATATTTAGGTCAGTGTTAAGTTTAATAATAGTGTACTGTTTTTATCTACAGGAGGTATTGCTTTGTATACTTGTGATGTTTCTTGTATTCTTTAGAAAAAATTCTTGCGGTGTTTGTATTTGCTTTTAGTGAAGATTTATTATGAAACTTCATCCTCTTTTTTGAAGAACAGTCAACCTTTCTATGGATGACTTGTGTTTTGTTAATAATGTTTGTTGTTTTCCTTTGGAATTGTTCTAGTTCTGTATGTTCAAGATATAACTTCAAATGAATATATCAGTGCTGAGATGACAAATGTGTGTTTTGCATTCAACTGTGTTGTTGGGCTGCAATTTGAAAAAATTGTAGACTTATAAATTCCCACTGTGGTCTATCTGTTTGTCCTTTCTTAATTATGAGAACAGTATTAGACAGAAGAAATTCAAGACCAGATATGGAAAGCTTAGGGAAAAGAGGCCCTGATTAACTATATACAAACTTCAGCTTTGGGCTGGAAGTCATGTTATTACAATTCAAAAATTTTTGCCTGAATGAAGTTAGATGCATGACTGGTATAACTTAATTGTTAACAGGAAAAGTATGATGTACTGGCCTGGGGAAAGACACTACTAAGTGCATTGTGACAAAAAATTGTAGCCCGGCATTGTGACAATGTCACAATAAATAATTGCTTGTTAGTTATATAGATTTAATACATAAATATGTTTAGTTATTTTTTAATGTGTGTGTTTGTAAATTATCTATATTAGGAAAAGCTATATCAATGAAGCATATTATTTTATGTATTTCATTACTCAGTGTTATGCTTGGCCTGCTGTGATAAACTGTTTATCCATGATAAAATCTTTTTCTGAATTTAGTTTTTGATTTGAAATGAGAATTTATATTTTTTGGTTAATGTTTAAAGGATGATTTTGCAGTTTAATCTTGTGTATACTTTTATAAACAGAGATAAGATAGTTTTTAGTTTTAATCAAAAATATATTATCAGTGTAATTTAAAAAGTTTTTTCATAATCAAAACACAGACCTATTCAATTTCATTTTAATTTAATTTTATTCTTTTTCATTTATTATTATAAATTTTTAGGCAGTTATTTTCATAATGTATTTATTAAAATGTTTTATCAGTCTGTTACTTCAAACAGTGGGTTATCCAAAATTTTGAGAAAATGAGTGTTGGTAAAAGCACATACAGGAGAGGACTGTCTTGTGCTCCCTGCTTTTTTTCCACAGAATGTTACTCATTTTAGAATTATTTTAGTTACCTAATCTTATTTGTTTTAAGCCATGTGGTGTGTGTGATATTTATTTTTATTTTAAAATAAAACTGATTGCTTTGGTATCAAGCCCTGACTTCAAATTATACAACAAATATTGCATTATTGGAGTAAATATAACATCAAACACAGTAGTGTAACTACTTGGTGCAACAGATGCAATGCCCAAGATGAAGGGTTCTCAAAATGGAACTGACAAAAAATGATCAAATATTTTGTTAATAAATGATGTGATAATAGGAAATATTTTACTGAAGATAGGAAATATATTACTGAAATGAAGATAGGAAATATATTACTGATAATATTTAATATTGTTATAATTAGATTTTATTTTTTTAATCTTATGAAGGATTTTGTTTTAATCATTTATTATTATTATTAATTGTAAAATTAGTGGAATTAAGTTTCACACTTTATTAAATATTCTTATTTTCAATTTTTATTTTACAGAATTTATTTCAATGTGTTTGATTACACTGTATAATATAAAAGTGCCTTTTATAAAATGGCAAACAATGCTTTAGAAGAATATGATTTATTCTCGGATAGCAGATATAGATCTTATGTTACAGCAGTTGACAAAGCACTTAAAAGTTTTGAATATACAAGTGAATGGGCAGATTTAATTTCTGCTCTTGGAAAATTAAATAAGGTGAGTTATTAAAAATTATTTAATGATTATTCTAATTTGTGAATGTTGCATTTATCCAAGTATAGTATGAAATTTTCTTGGTTTTTGACTCTTAGTAACCTTACTTTTACTATTTATACAATGTTTTCCTACAGGAAATATGTTAACCAAGTGTGTATCTACTCATACATACATACATACATACATACATACATACATACATACATACATACATACATACATAAAAAACTTAGCTTAAATTCACAACACTTTTTCCATCACAAAGAAAAATAAATTGATGATGACAAAGGAATTGATGAATTGTTATGAACTTTTTGTTATGAATAATCTATATTGGAAACAAGTGGATAAAATGTATGGATACAGTTGAGTTGAAGCTAGGAGGGTTAGGCTGCTTATCAAAAAATTCTATTATTATTGAAAAATTTGCAGATATTTCAATAATAAATCAATAATTTTTTGTTCAGAAATTTATAAGTTGAATGCATTATAAACATTTGAGGAGAATGTTTGAAAATAAGTTGTTAAAACCAATTAATGTATGAACAAGTGACAAAGCCCTTGGAGTTAATAAGTGAGTTGAGTGGGAGCAAACCTCTCTAGTATGCATATACAGTAATACCCCAAACTTACACGATAGGTGGGACCGAGTGATCACTCGGTCCCACCTATCGCGTATCACTGCGATTAGTAGCCTTCTTGAGTTGCGCTTCGATTTCGGGATCCGACACATATGTTGCAAAATTATACCCCGAATTCGTGTAAGTCGGGGTATAATTTTGCAACATATGCGTCGGATCCCGAAATCGAAGCGTAACTCAAGAAGGCTACTATCATCGTCAACACGCCCCACCAACAGCATCTCAGGTGGCTGGAGGGTGTGGCTATTAACAACGCCGGTCGGCTAGCCACCTGCGTTAACCGGAAGGAAGAGCTAACCCTGTCTCTGGCCTGGCAATCGCTGTTAGACGCCAACCCGCTGTTTCCTCCCCCACCACACAACCGTGCATGTCAGAAACGACCCACCCAGTCGGAACTGACACCTGATCCCAACAAATAATATACACTCCATCCGGGGAATTTTCAGTCGACCTGAAGAAGAGCGAACGGATCGCTCAAAAACATTTGTCAAGCGATATACAATATATACACGTAGAGCACCGGTCACAGGTTCCGGATAGTGTAACGTTGAAGCTAATAAATGTTTTCATTAATCTTATCTTGTCTTTTGATTCATTCACGGTTACAAGAAATTACCACATAGAGTCTCTCAAGTCTCTGTAGATATAACAAACACAGAAATAAATAACACAAAATAAATTGTAGCTTTGTGTCGATTCTGTGTGACACATCTGAACATGTAAGCTGAACAATAGTGTGGAGGGAGTGAGTAATCAAGAGTTGTGTGGCGCTCAAACAAAAGATGAATTGACGAGATTTGAAAATCACGTAATTCCAGGTTTGTGTAATACAGTTAGTGTAAGTTGAGGTATTACTGTATATAGTTTATACCATAATAATGAAAGAGTACTTTCTTTGTTTATAAAATATGAAAAAGAATCAAAAAAATAATAAAAATCTGCATGATTTGTTCTCTTAAAGACTTGCTGGAAATTTTAAAATTTGATTTCTTATACATTTTAAAAACTTTATATGAATTTTCATAAATTGTATTTAATATGTGAAAACAGACCTTTCAAAATTTCCTTCTTTTTAAATTATTAAATTAAGTTGTAAGAAAATGATGATGCTGAAGGGCATTTGGATAAAGTTATTTTGTTGGAATAACTTTATGTATATGACCTTGAATAACATTTATGGAGAATAATTGTTTTGGGAGATAAAGATTAGAAACTAATACTGTTAAAAATAATTGAAAAGTTAATAATAGTAAAATAAAATTTACTAAATTTATTGATTAAAAATTAAACAAGATAAAATGTTTAAGATTTTAACAATAAAAAAATATATTATGTTACTATCTTTAAAAAAATAAAAAGACGTAGTCATTTCCAAAAACTTGGGTGGTCATCATTTATTTCTTTTAAATGTTCCATAGTAAAAAGTTCAGACGACCCGACCTTTCTTTTTAGGCTACGTGGCCACCCTAGAAAAAGTTCCTTAAAACACAGAAACAAACCAATTAAAAAATAATAATTTTTTTTTTTTAAATTGGAATTGATGACCTTACGACGTCTTGCTTTTATTCATCCTTCTCCATTCGGGAGTTTCAGATCCTTATATCTACTGGAAATTTGCGCTGTTTAATGTAGATTATCCTCTTTCCTCCCTCTGGCGGCGAATTATCATCAAATTTTTTTAATTTTAAAGTTTTGCTGGATGATGAAATTTTCTTTAAAAAATAAAAAGACGTAGTCGTTTCCAAAAATTTGGGTGGTCATCATTTATTTTTTTTAAAATGTTCCATAGTAAAAACTTCAGATGACCTGACCTTTCTTTTTAGGCTATGTGGCCATCCTGGAATGTTACTATCTAATAAAATAATTTTACATAAATAATATTATATAAAACAAAAGTCTGATTTTAATAAATTATTATTTAAACTACAACTTTGTATGAAGAAATGAGTTAGATAAAAATAATTTTTTTTTACGTCGGTGAAACAAAACAAAGATTAAGGATCAGACTGTCGGAACATTTGGCTGCCGTAAGGTTGAAAATGAGTAATTCTCCTGTCTTCCAACATTGTAATAGTAATAATTGTCAGATAAATATTAATAAATTAAGAATAATTTTTAGGGAAAAAAATAATGTAAAGCGAAAGGTAAAAGAACACTTCGCTATAATTATGCAAAACAATAATGTTAATTTAAATACCGGAATGTTAACAGCGGAATGCTGGGAATTTTTTGTTAACCATATAACTGGCTCTTCAATGAGTTGACTGTTAGAACGTAGATTTTGTGCTGTAAGCCCCACTGAAGAGGCCATAGGCGAAATGCATTTGGGAAGCTTGTTAGTAATAATGTAAATAAAGTTTTTTTCTCTGCAAATTATTTTCTTTTTTATACCTTTTTAAACTCTTTTTTTAAAAGAAAATTTTTTAGTCATTATTGGCTTGTTTTTTTAAAAATTGAAGTTTTATATTATCCAAAAGTCAGAAGGGAAAGAAAAATATAATTTTTTCGTAGTTTTACATTTTGTGTAAGAAAACAAAAGAAGAAATTTTCTGACTGCATTGAATTTTTATAATTTTTTTTCTGTATGACCAGATTTGTTCTCAATTATCTGTAGAATAGACAAATAATAATAAAATTATATCTGTTATAATTTAAAGTGAAATTTATCCATAAATCTATCTTTTTGTCTATAGTCAGAAGTAATTAGGATTCTTGACTTGAAATAAAGTTAAAAATTTATGTTGGGAAACAAAGAATGTGTATTTCTGTTAAGATGGTATACTAGTTTTAAAAAATGTTGCTATAGTCTGATATTATACATTAGTTGAACTATGTATTTTCTTCAGATTTGATATTTAAAAGTTTGAAAGACTTTGTTACTATGAATCAGTTTTTGCTACTAGAATCTATTAATATGGAAAATATCTGTAGATATTATATATTTATAAGTTTTGTTACTTTCTTTTATCAACTTTTGAAAGATTGAAAATATTTTAATTGGTACCTTAAATGAAATTATGTAGACTGTTATATAATCTATCAATCTAAAAATTTAATGTTTAGAAGTGGATTAGAAGCAAAAGATTTTATTTGGCTTTTTACTTCCTATTGTTGTTTTAGAATTTATTTACATAGAATAAAATTAATAAGCATTCTGTAGTCATTGGATTACATGTATTAAAAAAATAATAAAATAATTCAATTATTTAACGTAAATGAATTACAATCTGAATTTTATTTTATTTATTTATTTATTGCACATACAAAAAGAAATGTTGTAAGTCAATTGATATCCCCTGAAAAAATGCCAATAACAAAAGATTAAAATAGGGTAAAAGATATTCAAATTAACGTGTATAATAATTTGAATATAAATATATTCAAAATATTTATTTAAAAGCATATTTTGTGTTTTTATAGTTTTATTACCACTATTTTCAATAATAATTCTAAATTTCAACATATACTTTAGAAAAATGTTCTTAACCATTTAGTTTTAAATAACGGTTTAATTTATAATGGTGTTAATATTATGATAGTTTGAAATTACGGATGTATTACTGTTTCATTATAAAGTTACAGCAAATTTAATTTAAGTACAATATATTTTGGTTGTTAAAAATTAAAATTATATGTAAAAGTTTTTCATTCTATGGTAACTTTAATGAAAGTAAATAAATATAAGATTACATTTTTAAAAACAAAAATTTATTGTTGTAAAAAAAATTAAATTATACAGTAAAAAAGATGACACTACAGATGTGAATTTCTAATAAAAGTGAATTATAATTTTCAAATAATCAATGACATTAATATTTCTGTAAATTTTATATTTAACATTCATTTCAATGCAAGTATTTATTAGGTTAAATTAAATCTAGCTTTTATTATTCTATAGATTTTTGTTCTGTAACAACATATTTAATTACATCTACTGAGATTTTGCAAAGTTGTGATAACAGTAGTGGAGTAATGATAAGATAATGACTCATTTCTCTGTTAAAATGATCAGAATATTATCTTATTCTGAAAATACAAGTATGAATGAAATGAAATGTGCATTAAGAAATGAAATGTGCATTAATTCTGTATTAGTTTTATTAAAATAATTAATATATAATATAATATATCCATCTCCCACAAGGCAATATGTTAGAAAAATATCCTTTCATTTGTTAATGACAATGTGAGTTTAGATCCAAAACATTTAATTTCCTATTTGGTTTTTTTATGGATAATTAAATTATTTTTCATCCAAAGAAAAAACAAACAATCCAGGCATAAAAGTTTATATCATTGAATTTATTTTTCTAAGTATTTTTCTCATTAATAAAATTGGCACTTAACATATATATACAGTAATTTTATTAAATAGATCAGAAATAGGCATATTGAAATTCAGGTATTCAGAATGATGTCAAATTATATTCAAATTACCAATTGAATTAAAAATCGTAATTTAAATTATTCATTCATCATTTTTGTTTTTATTCTTTTTGTCTTTATATTAATAAATAAAATAATTTCAATATATACATAGAAAATTTGAAAACATTTAATTAGGTTACATGTAGATTGTTTTATTAGAATTTTGTAATGAAAGATAATAATGCTATTAAAATTTATGAGATTAATATCAGCATATACATTTCCTGAATATCAATTGTTTTGCTAGATTTAACTTTAGTCTCTTAGCCACTTTGTATGGTTTTTTTGTTGTTTTTCATATATATCTAAAAATTTTTATAATCAAAACACCACTTCTTATGGTGTTTTGATTATAAAAATTTTTAGAATTAGCTAGCATAAAATATATTTGGCAGAAGGGAAAGAAAAATATAATTTTTTCGTAGTTTTACATTTTGTGTAAGAAAACAAAAGAAGAAATTTTCTGACTGCATTGAATTTTTATAATTTTTTTTCTGTATGACCAGATTTGTTCTCAATTATCTGTAGAATAGACAAATAATAATAAAATTATATCTGTTATAATTTAAAGTGAAATTTATCCATAAATCTATCTTTTTGTCTATAGTCAGAAGTAATTAGGATTCTTGACTTGAAATAAAGTTAAAAATTTATGTTGGGAAACAAAGAATGTGTATTTCTGTTAAGATGGTATACTAGTTTTAAAAAATGTTGCTATAGTCTGATATTATACATTAGTTGAACTATGTATTTTCTTCAGATTTGATATTTAAAAGTTTGAAAGACTTTGTTACTATGAATCAGTTTTTGCTACTAGAATCTATTAATATGGAAAATATCTGTAGATATTATATATTTATAAGTTTTGTTACTTTCTTTTATCAACTTTTGAAAGATTGAAAATATTTTAATTGGTACCTTAAATGAAATTATGTAGACTGTTATATAATCTATCAATCTAAAAATTTAATGTTTAGAAGTGGATTAGAAGCAAAAGATTTTATTTGGCTTTTTACTTCCTATTGTTGTTTTAGAATTTATTTACATAGAATAAAATTAATAAGCATTCTGTAGTCATTGGATTACATGTATTAAAAAAATAATAAAATAATTCAATTATTTAACGTAAATGAATTANATATATAAAACATTCTTTTTATTGTTACTATATACTTTGTCAATACACCAATGTTATTAACTGTCACTTCATAGAAAACTTTTAATGGAAACAATATGACAATAAGCACTGTTAAATATAATGACAGATTTTTATTGAACAGAAATTTAATTGAAAGAACTATAAGATTATGTAAAAAAGAATTAATGATAATTCTAAAATTCTGTATTTCAGAATTTTAGAATTGTTTACTTAAACTATATATTAGAAATCAGAAACATTGAAAACAGTGTTTTAAATAATGAATTTCTCCTGTTAAATTTTTCAATTCAATTGATTGAAATACTAAAACAAAAATATATATCAGAGAAAAATTGTTATTTCTCTAGTGTGATATAAAGAATTATGTAGGAGAATTAACTGGTTTAAATTTTCAATTTTAAACATTACACTCCTTAGACAAGATTTTTAAAGTTAACAAATACTTTTACTGTAATTTAAATCATTAGGTTTCTATCATTTTAATAGTATTCATTCCAGTATTTTGTAAAAACCTCTGTTTTCTTTCTGTATAAGTTCTTTTAACTAAATTCGAGAATTGAGTTGCCTTGGAGTAGCCACATAATATCTTGTGTGTCACTTGTACTTGCAAAGATTTGACAATTCTGTAGTAGATGGTACATTATGAATGTTTGAGATTTACACTAGTTACATAAAGTGTCTGAAAAGTTGATATAGATGTAACCAATAAAAAGAGTGTATTTATTAAGCCATAATTAGACTATTAATCTTTTAACATTAAGGTTTATTGATTAGTCATATACGGTTGAGGAGATGGAATATGTAATAGATTTATATACCAAGGGTGATAGCTACTTTGATTTAGGTTAATTTGGTCTTTATTTATGGATTGAGATATTGCTGCTTCCATCAGTAATGTATATCCATATTTCCAGTCATGAAGATTATCTTTAAATAATAGATTTGACACTCCAAATGAATTCAATATTCTGTGGAACTTTATTTGCCAAAGCTGCTCAGTGCTAGAATTTTTACATTTTTTAATTACTTCTTGATGTATAAAAGTTATATTACTGTCACTTTTGAATTTCAAACGGTAGTAGAATTTGATTTAGTTAAAGTAAGCCACCAGTAGCTTCGGTGGTCAAGACACACCCCCACTAAAATAATAATAATTTATTTTCAGTAAAATTAAAATATTTTATGTATCATATAATTATTTATAAAATAATAAAACAAATTTTTTTTTTACAGGTACTCTTAAGTAATGTAAAATATTCTGTTATTCCAAAACGTATAACAATAAGCAAGCGTCTAGCACAATGTATGCATCCAGCATTGCCAAGTGGAGTTCACTTAAAAGCTCTAGAAACTTACGATATTATATTCAAATGCATTGGTTTAAACCGTCTTAGTCAAGAACTTTTTATTTATAGTGCTGGCTTATTTCCTTTGTTGGGACATGCTGCCATGAATGTTAAACCAGTTCTATTAACTATTTATGAAACACATTTTGTTCCTCTTGGACAAAGGTTACGGCCTGGTTTAAATGGCTTTCTTACAGGTGTTTTGCCTGGTTTAGAAGAAGGATCTGACTACTATGAAAGGTATTTACCAAATTATATATACTAAACACTTTAAATACATTCTTATAATTAATTTTATAAAGTATTGACACTTTTCTAAAGATAGAGTTTATTAATAAAAATCTAAAAGTTAGTTATTATCTTTAATTTTTTTCATTATTTTGATATATATATGTTTATTAAGCATATCAGATCTAAGTTATTTAGATTATTTCAAAAGAATGAAATGAGAATGATTGGCTAAAAATTTAGCTATATGTAGAGGTTTCTATGGCATAATTGTCACCTAATTACTTGTTCTACCTTGAGAGAGTATTTTTTTTTACCAATTTCCACTCTATTATTGATTATTGTTTGCCATTATAATTTATAGTTGCCCCACTTTACTTCATAAAATCCAACCAGAATGAAATAAGATTTATGTAATTTTTAATAAATTTCCCAATTTACCAATTTTGGGTTGTGGTGAGGTAGTAAGGGCCAGAGTGAGCTTCCCCAATTTTAACCATCATATTGTTTACTTTGAGAAAGTTTTATTTTTTAAAATATCTATTGACCTTTTAAATATGAAACTTTTCAGTCTTAGATACCCAAATAGAGTAACCAGGAATTCTTCATGTTGCACTTCTTTATTTTGTCATCTTAATTTTTCCAGATCTTTCCAAGTGCTACTAATGCCATATCTGATCTCGAAAAGCTTTTATTTTGTGATACTTGTTTTTAAAAAATGTTAGAAGATTTTTTATAACAAACATTAATGCATTTTCTATTTATCTGTTTTATTTTATTTACCTAATTCTTGTGTGTGTGTATTTTTTAGGTGTTTACCTATTTTTTTTCTTTTATGTATTTTTATTGTTATTTTTATCTGTATTTGTTTTATTGTGTGGGGTAGTTTTTATTGTTGTTGTTATTGGGATCATTCATCCCTTGCCTTATTTAGAATTATCATGAATTAATAAAAAAAAAAGTAAATAAATGACTTGTAGTTCATTCAATTTTGAATGATTTATAATTTAAAAATAAAAAAGATTAAAGTGAAGTTATGCTATTGTTTATAATGAAAATATGAAATTTTTCAGTTCAGTTTTTAGACCAACCTTTCAGTTTTATAAAATTATTATATATGATCAATCATAGCACACTCCCAACTAATTACCAATCTACAAGACTGTTCTTTTCAGAAATATTTCAATATATTGTTTTCAGTACACCATAAGAACAAAGTGTTTTTGGAGCTGTTCTCTACATTAGATATAAATTTTACTCTTCTTTATATTACAATTACAAATTTTCACATTAAATTTCTTTAAATTCTTCATTATCATCAGTCACAAAATCAAACACACACACAAAAATGAATACACTTAGGATCCAAATACATTTTTGCAAAAATGCCATGTTCCTAGCATGCAGATAATTCAAATTTTATGTAGCATGAGTTTTTTGGCAGACAATTCTGTACTATACTCTGGAGAAAATCTCTTTCACATTGATTACCTCATTCTTCTTACTCTACTTATCTTTTTTGCCATTAAAATATTTTCTTGATCTCTAACTTCTATTACTAATGCTATCTTATTCCACTCCACTTATATAATCTTACCCTATGCCTCCTTAGCAAAAGTTTTTTTTCTATTCTTTCTTTTCATAAAATCTCGTGTTTTTTTAATCTTCTCTTTCAAGTTGTGTCTTGTCACCTATGTGTATACCTTCTCCCCTTTCCTTCCATTTAGGAATAACTTTGGCTTTTTTGTGTGTTCAATTTTGGATATGATGGTAATGGAAAATTAAGAGAACTGTAAAAATTTGTAATTGTAAGGATTTTAAAGCTCTGCCCAAAAGTATTTTCTGTACTGAAAACAATATATTGCATCTCTGAATAAAGATTCTTTAGTGCATCCATCAGAGATTTATCTGTATGTGTGATGGAGTCAAAAATAAACCAAACTTTTAGTATGTATACATATTACATACATATATATATGTAATGATATATAATATATATATATATATATAAAGTTTGGTTTAGTTTTTATTTCACCACATATACAGATAACTCTGATATATTGTAATATTAATAAATATATATAATAATAATAATTTTAATTTGTAAAAAATATATGTTTGTAGCTGCATTTTGTTAATTTCGTAGTTTATTGTAGAAATAATTATTTTTGTAATAAAATAAAAATATTGAAATTTTCTAAATATTTTATAATTAATGGTAAACCAAAGATTATTTGAAAAAAAGTGATGTGATTTGAAATACATGAATGTCTGTTTCAATTTGTTGTTTTATCACTAGTTTATTATAATTTATCATATTTTATTATAATTATATTTTTTACTAAGAAGATAATCAGTTATCTTTTTAGTAAAAAATTAAAATTATATTGAAGAGTATAAAAAAAAATCTATAAAATAATGAAATCAATGATCTTTTGAACACACATTTTACATATTAAAAAAGTTATTAACTTTATTGTTAATAATATCAATGACTCTACTGTAATAATTTATTTATTTTTATTAACTGTTTTATTTCATAAAAATTATTATTTCATGAATATAAATATTGCAGGATAGATCAATTGTTGATGAAGGTTTGTGATGGAGTTGAAAAAAGCTTTTTTTACGGCAGCTTATGGAGGTGTATTATGTCTAATCCAAGCATTCGTCTTCCAGCAATTTGTTTTATAACATCTCATTTTAACAAGAAATTAACTATGGAAGATCAATTATATATAATTGGAACAGATATAGATACAATGGTAAAATAAAATTGTTTTGTATAAACTTGTAAGAATAAAAAATATATTAAAATGAAAGATATTTTTAAATTTTTATTACAGGTTCATGCAATTTGTTCCTCTTTACAAGATAGCAGTGTACTTGTCCAGCGTTGTGCTTTAGACTTACTTTTATTAGGCTTTCCTGTATATAATAGTCAATTGGTTTCTTCTGATATGGTAAAAATTGTAACATCTGCTGTTACTGTAGTTCTAAGGAGGGATATGTCATTAAATAGGTAACATATTTGTTATTAGCAACTGATTCTCTTGGTGTTGTATCTATATAGTCAAGGATTGTCCAATATCTATATTTATGTGGGACCAATTTTATTTCTCTAAAATTTAGTGGGCCAGAATTAAAGGGTACAATGTAATATTATGTATTAATTGGAGTAAGTTGACTTCCAAGTAAAACTAAGTTTTATGAGAATATATTGTATATAACAAATCTTAGGTGCCAAGGAAACAATGAATAAACAACGTATTAAAATCTACTATCAAAACAATTGTTATTAAACAATAGTAAATAAAATAATTACAAATTATGATGTTTTTGTTGATTAAAAAATATAACAATGTTTATACATATAATTATTTGATCATAATAACTTTTTTATAACATAAAAATCTATTATAATAATTGAGGCAGAGTATTAACAAATTCTCTTTTATGGATTACAGAATTCTGCTTGTTCTCAAAATTTGATCAACTGAGTTTGATTAAACTTTGCCATTTTCTATTAGTTTTGATGAAGAATAAAAAAAATATTTAAAAAAAAATTGGGATTCATGCATTCATTTTTGTGAGACAGTGAGATCGAAGTGACAATGTCCATATTCTTTGATGCAATTGAGCACACCTGAGTTTAGGGAGCAAAAATAATAAAAAAGTATTGTGGGTATGCCTAACAGAAAATGGACACCAAAAATGAACAAAAATTTATCACAGAATATAAGGATTTCCTGTCCTTGCCTGGAAGTGTAAAGATTGATTTTTTTCCTCTCCAACAAGTGCAGAGATTGCAGAGATTGTCTGTCCTTGGACGATAAGTGTAAGGATTACCTTTTCCCATGGCCAGCAATCATTTTCATTTGAACACGTGTACACACATGCTCATATACACACACATGAACTCCTACATACACATTCAAACACTTGTCAGTTTTCAGATTAGATGAAACAAAAGATAATTTATATGTACTAATACTAGTTAAAAAATTTTTAATTACAAAAATGCAATTCTCTGCCTCAATTATCATGATATGACAAAGTTGCATGGTTTTCTTAGTAATATAAATATAAAAATTAATAACTAATAAATTAAAAATGATTAATGTGGCAGAATTTGTTTAGTTACAAGTTCTGTGTCTACTAATAACTATGAAATATTTTGAAGAATTTTTGTAAAGATCTTCATGGGCCACAAAAATTTTTTGTGGGCTACAAGTTTGACAGTCTTGATCTATTGTAATCATTAGCTTTACTTTTAATCCTTGTTATGTAATTAAATTTAATGCCAAATGATTACATTACTTAATTATAATATAGTAAAAGTAAATTTATATATATATTCAGTATTGTTATATAAAATTAAAAAAGGTAGTTTTTATTTTTAATACACTGCAGATCCAATATAATCTGAATAATGAAATACAGAAATTTGATCTGAATTATAAATAAACTTCTATTATATTGTATATTTTTTTGTAATAAATAAGAAAGGTATGATAATCTAATATAATTTTTTGAATTCTAGAATAAAGATATCAAATTACATTATGAGCAATTTTATATTGTATTGGGCTGTGCAAAATTGAGTGTATTATGATCAATTTTTAAAATGACAAAATTGAAAGTAAATGACAAGAATTTCTAAATGTTTTGAATTGAGAAATAAGACAAATAATAGCATAATAAATACTTGCTTTTCTACTGCGCTGAGGAATCTAGATTAAATTTGATTTGAAGTACAGTAGATCATCGATTATCTGAATCAATTGGGGACTGGGGTTGTTTGGAAGATCGATTTTTTGGATAACCGATTACGTACGAAAAAATACATTATTAATATAGTATATTAGTATATCCCAATAATAGTATATTAAATATATCCCATGTTTAAATTTTTCTCCATTGCATGTCACTTTGTGTTGAATTTTCGTCGATGTTAAGCCTAATGAAAATTTTCATAATAATAATAATCGTGGCTATTGTATCGTTAAAAATTATTTCTTTATTTTGTACAAACAAAATAAATATATTAAAAAATATAAAAACAAAAAAATTATACTTCAGAAGTTAATCTAGTATCAAAAACGTTTGATTCAGCACGACACAGTCCGACTGGAATGCTTTCAGTTAACCGACGTTTTGGTTGATCAACATTCGGATAATCGATGCTCTACTGTAGTTTGTTTTTTTTTTTATGTATAAGGCTAAGAGGTTAAATTATGTTTTATTTTTTATAATAATAACATTATAGACTTATTTCTTATTTANAGGGATGAGTTTCACAATTCCCAGACCAAAATCCAATCAAACATTTATGGGCTATATTACAGAAAAAATTCAAAACATGCTCCTAGAAGTAAAAATGAGAAGAAAAATTGTTGTTTTAGGATTGGAACAGCATATCACCAAAAGAAATTAAATGCTTAGTTTTATCAATGAAAAATTAATGTCATTCAAAAAATAATTAAACAAATAGGAGGCCCTGGAAAATTAAAAACTATCACATCCAACATTTATTCTCCACTACTTCAGGATAGCACCATACCTGACTATTCCACTGTTGAAAGGTTAAATAAAATTTTAATTTGATTTAAATATTTTCATATGTTTAAAATGGTTTCAATTTACATTGCATTTATTTAATTGATATTTTTTATAGTAGTTATTTAAATGCATATTGATTACTTCATAAATTTTTTAATGAACTTTTTTGCATTTTTTATTAATGAAGCAATTTTGAAATAATTTACAGGAGATTATTTGGATGGTTATTGGGTAATAATGTGACTTGCAATGTTTCTCCAACATCAGATCAAACTTCAGCACAAATAGAAAATATTGAAGAAAATGAAAGCAATACTTACTTTGAAAAATATTCTAAAGATTATTTGTTACAAGCTGTTAAAATGTGTTTTGATGTAAGTAGTATTTGTTTGTTTGGCATTACATAGATTTGTTTTAATATAATGAACAGAAATGCAAATGCCAAAAAAAAAAGAATGCTTAAAGTCTAAATTATAAAATTTTTAACTATATTATGTTTTAATTACATCTTTATGATATGAAGGTTTGTGATGGAGTTGAAAAAAGCTTTTTTTACGGCAGCTTATGGAGGTGTATTATGTCTAATCCAAGCATTCGTCTTCCAGCAATTTGTTTTATAACATCTCATTTTAACAAGAAATTAACTATGGAAGATCAATTATATATAATTGGAACAGATATAGATACAATGGTAAAATAAAATTGTTTTGTATAAACTTGTAAGAATAAAAAATATATTAAAATGAAAGATATTTTTAAATTTTTATTACAGGTTCATGCAATTTGTTCCTCTTTACAAGATAGCAGTGTACTTGTCCAGCGTTGTGCTTTAGACTTACTTTTATTAGGCTTTCCTGTATATAATAGTCAATTGGTTTCTTCTGATATGGTAAAAATTGTAACATCTGCTGTTACTGTAGTTCTAAGGAGGGATATGTCATTAAATAGGTAACATATTTGTTATTAGCAACTGATTCTCTTGGTGTTGTATCTATATAGTCAAGGATTGTCCAATATCTATATTTATGTGGGACCAATTTTATTTCTCTAAAATTTAGTGGGCCAGAATTAAAGGGTACAATGTAATATTATGTATTAATTGGAGTAAGTTGACTTCCAAGTAAAACTAAGTTTTATGAGAATATATTGTATATAACAAATCTTAGGTGCCAAGGAAACACAATGAATAAACAACGTATTAAAATCTACTATCAAAACAATTGTTATTAAACAATAGTAAATAAAATAATTACAAATTATGATGTTTTTGTTGATTAAAAAATATAACAATGTTTATACATATAATTATTTGATCATAATAACTTTTTTATAACATAAAAATCTATTATAATAATTGAGGCAGAGTATTAACAAATTCTCTTTTATGGATTACAGAATTCTGCTTGTTCTCAAAATTTGATCAACTGAGTTTGATTAAACTTTGCCATTTTCTATTAGTTTTGATGAAGAATAAAAAAAATATTTAAAAAAAATTGGGATTCATGCATTCATTTTTGAGATACAGTGAGATCGAAGTGACAATGTCCATATTCTTTGATGCAATTGAGCACACCTGAGTTTAGGGAGCAAAAATAATAAAAAAGTTTTGTGTATGCCTAACAGAAAATGGACACCAAAAATGAACAAAAATTTATCACAGAATATAAGAATTTCCTGTCCTTGCCTGGAAGTGTAAAGATTGATTTTTTTCCTCTCCAACAAGTGCAGAGATTGCAGAGATTGTCTGTCCTTGGACGATAAGTGTAAGGATTACCTTTTCCCATGGCCAGTAATCATTTTCGTTTGAACACGTGTACACACATGCTCATATACACACACATGAACTCCTACATACACATTCAAACACTTGTCAGTTTTCAGATTAGATGAAACAAAAGATAATTTATATGTACTAATACTAGTTAAAAAATTTTTAATTACAAAAATGCAATTCTCTGCCTCAATTATCATGATATGACAAAGTTGCATGGTTTTCTTAGTAATATAAATATAAAAATTAATAACTAATAAATTAAAAATGATTAATGTGGCAGAATTTGTTTAGTTACAAGTTCTGTGTCTACTAATAACTATGAAATATTTTGAAGAATTTTTGTAATGATCTTCATGGACCACAAAAATTTTTTGTGGGCTACAAGTTTGACAGTCTTGATCTATTGTAATCATTAGCTTTACTTTTAATCCTTGTTATGTAATTAAATTTAATGCCAAATGATTACATTACTTAATTATAATATAGTAAAAGTAAATTTATATATATATTCAGTATTGTTATATAAANCTATATAAATGTAAATATAAAAATTTTTTTGTGTTATTAATTTCAAATACATATTATTCTGAAACCTTCTTGTTGGTGCCTTTATTAACTTAAATCGGCACCTATGGCGTGGGCCACATTGGCCATACCCTAGTTACAGCTCTGCCTTATACTATATGTAATCAATTGCATGAGGCTGATTTTCATGAAAAACCTTTCATCTCTGCTATCAATTGGAAAGAGCACATAGATTGAGCAAATAAATATATTGAGAAAGACCAATGGTTTTGAACAGTTAGTCAGATGAAAGTAAATTTAACTTAATTTGTTTCAGATGGATGCATTAAAGTTTGGAGATCACCTAATGAAGAATATAAATTAGAATGTTTAAAGCCCATTGTTAAAATTAATGATGGGATTGTGTTGGTCTGAGGATGCATGGCAACATCTGGAATAAGTGAAATAATTTTTATTGATTAAGCCATTGTTTGATCAACATCTTTATAAAGATATTTTAGCTGAAGAAGAGCCGAAATCTGTAAAAAAATTGAAGCTGGGTTGTAAGTTTATTTTCTAACATGACAATGATCTAAAACATACTGCAAAATCAGTGGATGCATACTTAAAGAAATGAAAGATGATAGGGATGAGTTTCACAATTCCCAGACCAAAATCCAATCAAACATTTATGGGCTATATTACAGAAAAAATTCAAAACATGCTCCTAGAAGTAAAAATGAGAAGAAAAATTGTTGTTTTAGGATTGGAACAGCATATCACCAAAAGAAATTAAATGCTTAGTTTTATCAATGAAAAATTAATGTCATTCAAAAAATAATTAAACAAATAGGAGGCCCTGGAAAATTAAAAACTATCACATCGTTATTTCTTAATTTTCTTTTCTTAGATTGTGACAAGTGGATGAGTAATTTTTTGTTTGTAATTATAACATATTTTAATTTATTAGTAGATTTTTCGTTATCATGAAGTGTATATAAATAAGTAAATTTATAGATTTATTAAGAACTGAACCACCGTAGAGACGGGGGTGCCTCTTTCTTTGTGGATAAATCAAAGTATAGAAAACAGATTTGAATGTGACAAGCGCATTTATAGACAGTATCTAAGATGCTTTTTATCCACAGCACTTAGTGCCTACATCCAAAGTGGTAAAGGGGTGAATGTAGGGTCTACTTACGCTACTGTATATAATATTTCAAAAAGAGCAGTGATGGGAAGACTTTTTATGTGAAACTGGCTCCTATTTAGTGTTAGACACGTAAAGATAACCCGGAAACACTTGCCAACCCGTTGATGAGGCTCGAATCCGCCACCTACTATCAATGGTTTATAGTTTTATACCCATTCGGCCATTGATGAGCCCGAATATAAATCAAAATATCATTATAAATTTTTGAGGTTTAACTTTAAAGTTATTTGAGGAATTAATTTATTGGGCTTCTGCATATATTACAAAATATCTGTAGAATAATAAATAATAGTCGATTATTACGAACTGAAATTGGATTGTTTCCATATGCATTCACTAAAATATTATTGAAAAATTTTTATTATTAATTTAAATTATTATTTTAAAACAATATTCTTTTTATTAAAAACAAAGTTGATCTTTTCATTAGTATCTTAAACACTCGGTTTGTTAAATAAAATTCCATAAATTTCATTGAAGTTGAATTAATATGTTTATCAATTAAGAAAATTAAATACAAATGTTTTGTTAAATTTCAATAAATAATAAAGTCAAAAAGTATTTAAATATAGAAAAGTATGAAGAATTTTTTTAAACGTTCCAAAAATGGAAAGAAAAAGACATATCCAATGGTAAATTTTAGTGGTTTTATATTTTATTATTTAATTATTAAATTTATATATTTTGAAGGAAAGTTATGAGTTTTGCTATTTCCACGGCTTAAAGAAAATCAAACCAAAAAATCAACTTAATTATCCTGAAGTGAGTAAATCGAATAGCTTTATTTTATTGTGTAAGATATTTAAAAATTAAAAAAAAAAATAAATAAATTTTACAGTTAAAAGAAAGATTCGAGACGAAAACAATGGAATTTAATAGAGTAAAAAGCCACACCTCTATTGCTGAAGAATTTCCTACTGATCCCATACAAAGAAATAGTATAAATGCAATACGTAGATTCCACGACNAGAAAAAGTTTTATATTATTTATATTATTTTATATCATTAAAAATAATTTTATAAGATATTTTTAACTTGCTACAAATATTTTTATTAAAGTGAGAGATAATTTTTAATTCTATGAGGGTCATTCTAAAAGTAAAGAATGTTTGTTTCTCTAGATATTTTTATTTAAGATAATGAAACAAAACTTATTTTAAAAGACATATGATACCTTAGCTATATTTCTACATAGTCGCCATACAAATTTAAACATTTGTCATAGCGTATCATCAGCTTTTCTATGCCTTCTGCATACTCAATTACCATCAAGTTCTTGAACCAGTCATTAATGCCTCTTTCAGTTTGTTTTCACTTCCATAGTGATTCCCGTCTAAAAATTCCTTCAATTTTGGGAAAAGATGTAATCACTCAGAGCCTAGTCCTGGTTATAAGAAAGATGTTCAAAAACTTCCCACTTAAACTGCTGAAGCAAGTTCTTTGTCAATGCAGCAGCATGCGGATGTGTGTTATCCTGAAGAAGCACAATGCCTCTGGACAACAATCCCTACCATTTGTTTCGAACTGAAGCTTCATTCATCACATTACCATAAACCTCGGTTATCTGTCTGTAAATTTCAATAGGGATGACTTTTTTCTCATTCAAAAAGCATATTACACTATGAACCTCACACTTAGCGGGATCTTTAATTTTGTCACACATTTCAAAGTCACACTGTAAACAGTAAATGATCATTGTGGCTCACTGTTAGCATCAGTCTGGTGCAAAAACATGGGAAAGTTCATGATGTGGCAGTTGAGGGTGGTGGGAGAACTGAATGGCTTGTCAGATCAAAACGTTCCTTTCTTTTAGAATGACCTTTGTATATCTTTAAACCTTAAATAAATATGTTATTTTAATTTATTTTAATGTATTTAAAATAAAATAAAATAACAATCTTGGAGGAAATAATTTCAAATGAATTGTTTTGTCATATTGTTTATTTTTAACAAAATAATAAATGTAATCAACATTAATAAGTTTTTATGTATATATTATTAACAGAGTCCAGAAAATCATTTAAATTTACCTGGATCGCTTTCTGGATCTCCAGTTTTATGGAGTTACCGTCTTCTTATTAGTTTGTTAGATAGACCTGAAATTAGTTCAGTTATTTTGGATGAAATATTAATAGAAGTGTTTCGGTAAGTTATAATTAGTGTAAGAACTTTCTTATTATATGATTATTAAAATATTTTTATTACAGATCTTTGTATAAAGAAAACAATAATTGGTCAAGCCAAAATAATAAAACCAAGGAATCTAAAAATAATTCTGAGTTAATTAAAACAGCAAATTTATTATTTGGAACATTTGAACCATATTATTTATGGGAGTATTTAGCAAGAATTTTTCAAGTAGCCTGTATCAAATCTGGTGAGCAAACAATTGAAATGGAAAGATCTGTACAATATATTGGTGCTGAAACACCTACAGTTCATGAACTCTGTATTTTAATAGAGTTTCTGCTGAATATTGTTTCATTGGTATGTATTTCATTATGATTTTTTTGTTATTTGTCTTGGGTTTTATTTATTCTATATTGTTGGGGTTTTTGTTAAATAGGGGGTAGATGTCTTTTGGCTAACAGCAAAAGACATCTACCCCCTAATTGTGTAAATTTAATTTCCTAATTTCCTAATTGTGTAAATTTATTTATTTATTTATGGTTTTTATAGTTTTATAACAATTTGTTATATAAATATTGAAATTTTAGAACAGTTTATCTTAATTATAAAGATAGTAATTATCATTATAGACAATAAGTTTTCATCTGACACAGATGGTCCTTATAGCTATGTGTCAATGTGTCAAATCATCTGACATGCATAGCTATAAGGACTATCTGTGAGTTGACTTGATTGCAAATTAAGCATAAAAAAAATGGTAATAAAAGGCATATGATACCCAGAACATGCAAATCTATGTAATACACTATACTCTCATTAATCTGAACTCTTTGTTTGGGATTGTTTGGGTTAGCAGTGTTATATACATAAAGTAAAGGAAATCAAAAAGGATTACAGACAAATACAAATACAGAATAAAAATTTTTTGAAATATATTTGGTTCATATATTTATGTTTAAATGTATAGTACATATTAATTTTATAAATTTTTTAGGTTTAAAAAAAAATTAGTATATGACTAGGCTACAAGCTTCAAATTGCAGTCCTATGCATTCCCATTATTTTCCATCTATATATCTGTCCTCTTAATCTCAAGAATGGAGTTATAAAGATGAAAATCAAGAACAGCTATGTAAAGCTTAGGGCTGGAGGTCCCTATTAACTATATACAGACTTTTGGTCTGGACCAGAAGTCATGTGATTTCAATTTGAAATTTTCTTGAGAACAGAGTTAGATTATTAGCATGATTCAATTGTTATCAGGAGAAGTATGATGTATAGGGGCAAGACTGCTAAATTCCAGACAAGATATGGAAATTTTAGGGGCCAAATCCCCAATTAACACTATATAAAAACTTCCAGTCTGCATCAGAAGTCATATGATTTTTTTTTAATTAAAAGATGATTAAAATTGCAGCCTAGCATTGTCATGATGTCCCAATACATAATTGCTCGTGTTATTTATTTTTGTGTTTGGCTGAAGCATTTAACCGAAAAATGAATAAAATTGGTTCAGATTAACAACAGTGTACTATAATGTATACTGTAATCAGATAAAGACTTATTCTTATGCTTACCTCAGTATGAATTAAGTAATTAACACTAAGGTGGTATTCAGTTAAATAAATTATGATATTTTATTAACACAAAGACTTACAGAAACATTTTACAAACCATGTTTAAAAACACCAAAGATCACATTGAGGGAGTTGAACTTTTGTTTCAAATTGATTTTATTAATTAATTAATTAATTCACTTCAACTTTGTTATAAAATTGAAATTAGAATGATAGTCCTAAACCCAGCAGCTATGTAGAAAGTTAGTTTTGTGAAAAACAAAACTAACTTTCTAAAAAATTGTTGTTAGATATTAATAAACTGCAAGCTATTGTTAAATAGAATATGTTAATTGCCCACTATAGTATTACATTTAACAGTAATTGTCATGTCATACCATTACAAGGATGATCAATTGTTGATACTTGAGAATAATATTTTTTAATATACTAATTTTGGTGATGTAAGTCAGGAGGCTGTAAATTGGGACACTGTATATGAAAACAATTAGCTTTTAAAATTAAGTTTTAATTTAGTTTAGGAACAAACTACTACTAAAATTCTTTTTCTAAGTATAATTTAATATGGACAGAATTCATAATTGGTTAAAATAACAAAATTAACAAAACAGTAATATATGTAAGTTTACTTAATAATAGTCTACTTGCAAACTTAATAGAACTAGTTTTATTCAAATAGGAATGAGATATTAATTAAAAATCCATTAAATTTAACAATTTACAATTATTCAATGTTATAAAGAAATCATGCATAAACAATTCAAAAGATAATTGAACTTAAATCTTACTTAATAAGTGACCTGTACAAGCTGTATAAAGAATATCACAATTAAGTATTGAGGAATGATGTTACAATTACCTTTGCCAATTTAAGCTCATTTATATAAAGGCTTGTATGTTACAAACTTTTTAGTACCAGCCAGCCTTAAGAAAAATTTTTCAATAAATGCGATATTTACAAGGACATACTTAACTATCAGGAAACCTGGACAATCCCACCTCTCTGTCTCATCTTCCCTTATTAAGTCATAAACCATTGCCTCAAACTTCTTTTACTAATACTGCTTAAGATGTTTCAATGTTCAGCCAAATTAATGTACAGTATGTCAATGATTTTAAGGCACAAAGCAGTGCTGGAAGTCTTTTTCTGTGCTGATGTTAATTTTTCCTATTTATTATCATCGCAACATTGCTTTATTCAAAATTTCTTGTAGTTGTAATCTTTGTAATGTGCACTTTATTCACATGTTGAGTCTTACTGTCAAATCTGCTTTTAGTATGCTTATGCTACAACTTTCAAAAGTTTCCTTTACTTAGATGTTTTTGCTGAGCTTTACTTTTTCAACCTGGCTTCACTATTTTTTTTATGGGATTACGTAAAAGCAATTATTCTTGCATTTTTACAAGATTTTTTAAACAAGTCATATTAAATCTTTTAGATGTTAAGGTTTGCAACTTTGATCACATGCAGGGCCATCACAACTTATCTAATACGGATCACTTTTCAAATATTAATAATAGACCAGTATTAAGTAGTGTAGTCATTGACTACTTTTTGGTCAAATTAACTTCAATCTCCATCTGCAACAGTCCCTTCTTGCTATCAGACCCAGCAGTATGGTGGCATTCAAATAGGAAAATTACATAATAGGAGGTTACCAGCCTGCACAAAATATGATTAAAGTGGTTTTCAAAGAGTGCTGATATTAAATAATTTGGTCCATTTTTTAAGAAATTTGATTGTTGGCAGATCACCATTTGACATTCTACTGTGAATGAAATAGTTTGTTAGTGGTAACATTAGAAAAAAAATCTGATATCTTAAATTTTCTAAGATATTGTATTTTCAGTTGGTGTCTACTTGACCAATGAAATAGTGCCATTTTGTACCATCTAAGTATCATGATAAACATGACAATAGTAGGCTAAAATAACCAAACTCTTTATATGGTTTTTGTTTTAATGTTTGTTATGATATAGTATTTGATTTATATAACTACAAAGGTTATTTTTGGTCATTTGGTGTGATAAGCCCTTACCTATCTAACACATTTTAAAAATTTTCTTCGTCTACTGTACACAATTTAAAGAATTTTCAAAATGTGTTAGATTGGTCACTTGGTATGATAAACCCTTATGTAAGATAACCTTTGTAGTTATATAAATAAAATACTGTAATGTAATATAATAGAAGGGTTAGAAGTACAAAATAATTTAATAATCTTAATGTTTGTACTTATTTTTTGCCTGAACAACGGCTTACTTGCTTGTTAATATATATAAAAGTAATTTTAAAGAACTTTATGTTAAATTTATTTTATAAATTTACAAAGCTAAAAATTAATGGCACATTATAATTTTTGTGCAAATAGTATTTTTCTCAGTTTAGTATATTGTTTCCAGTATACTAAACTAAGAATATTCTGTTATGTTAATTTTAATGTTTTTGAAAAATTTTTTGGAAATGTTATATTCTAAGAACTAATAGATAGTATAAGCTTTGATGCTGAATTTAGCCTGCCAATTATAAAATAATAAGCACTTTTTATATTAAGTAAAGGTTAAATATAATCAATATAAGGTTAAATTCAATTAACAGTTGAAAAAATTATAACACAATAATCAGTCAGAAGAATGACAAATGCTGATTCAAACTATTTTTTTGAAAAATTGGCTCATTGGAGTATTGGGCTGATTTCCTAAAGATGTTGGCTGTATTAATGTTATCCACGAATTGGTAGTTAATGTAGAATATTTAACCAATTGCAATATATCTAATATTGGTTGATGTCAGTTACTACTTTTAAACTTTGATAATTTAGCATTATAATTTAAAATATGTAATAGGTATTATATTTTTAATTGTTTAAGCCTTTTATAAACTAATATTTAGGTACAAAATTTAAATTTCTATAATAATATAATAAAAAACTTCAGAAAGAGTTACTTTAATAAAAAAATGGAAATTGATTAATGTAATTTAATAAAGACAATTTGGCTGAAACAACAGTTTTAATTGAATTAATGTAATATTTTAAAATATTAATTGCATTATCTTATATTTATTATTTATAATTTATATTTATATTTTTTGAGAAAAATCTATCTATAATAATAATATGGATTCAATTTCTTTTAAATTTAGGAAACATATCCAGAGACAAGAACGGAGTATCTTCCGGATCTTCTGACTAAAATAAGCAATGCATTAGCCAAATACTGTGATATATTAATGCCAGCTGAACTTTCATCATCTCTACAGTTATGCTCAAAATTATTATCTAAAGTTCAGCCAGTTGTAATTAGTGTTTCTTCAGATAGTGAAAATGATAATAGTACTGATGTAACTGTAGATTCTAAGTCCCACAATGTGCCTTATGAACAGAATTGTGCCAACACTGAAAATAGCATAAATCATTTTTTCCTTAATTCTCAGAATTTAGACAAAAAGGTAGAATTAATTATAGGTTTGAGGAAAGTTTTATCTGAAAATCCTGATACATCAGTTTCATCATCTGAACATGTTACTTCGAATGATTCTTTTGATGGTAATGAGAAACAGAATTTGAGTTTGAATACAGTTTTGCCAACTACATCAATTGGTTACTGTGTTGAAAGTGTGCAAAATTTATTTGTGAAGTTTGTAAAATTAAAACTGTTTGACACTAATGATAACTACATTTATTGTTTTAATAAATTATTGGCTCCAAAAATAGATGGAGAAAAGCAGAGGGAACAGAAATTGAAAAATCTTCTTCTTAAGTGCCTTGGAACTGTCTCTGATGAAACTATAGAAAGGACCAAGAAAGAACAAGACAATTTAACAGATTCTCCTGAAGAAATATCAGAGAAAGTAGAACTTAATTTAAAATCTGATGCATTAAATATAACTGAAGCATTTCAGAATTTGTGTCATCTTTTTGTTGAATTGTCATCTTTCCCTATGTACTGTACAACATCAAAACATTTTGTGGATGTGAAATTGAAACATGGTAAGATATATATGAATATTAGAATAGTATAAAATAAAATAATGTATATAAGATTTACCTTAAACAAAATTTTTTCAGTTTAAATTTTTAGTAGTTTTTTTAATTGTTAAGATCTTTTCTATTGAGTACAAAGTTCTTTTGAATTATTTGATTAATTTGATGAATAGTTATTTTCCTAACTTTTTAACATTGAGTTTGCTAGTATACTGAAAAATTATTATCATCAAAGAATATATCTTTAGTGTATATTTTTTTATACAGTAAACATTTAACTATATTTAATTTTGTTTTTTAAATATTTAAATCTCAATAGCTTGATTCTCATTACATTATGTTCAAGATATAAATTGTTACAAAACCGCTCATAAAATTAAATTTTCACATTAAGCTGTAATAAGATTTCTGGCAGAAACACTGCCATGATTAATTTTTAATATGGCTTTTTAACAGCCTTTAAAGAAAGCTATTTTAAAATTGTAACATATATATGAATGGTTTTCAATATCTTATAATTTTTAAGGCTTATTGAATTTATGATAAGTAAAAGAATATTATTAGACATACATGTAACCTTATTAACTTGAATTGGTCAGGGAAAAAAATTCAGACAAAGTTAAAAAGTTTTGGGTTATAGAAGCTTATCTAAAATTCAAAATTTTGTGCATTAGTTTATTGTTGACCCAAAATAAATATCCATATGATACTTCTGTGGATCTTATTACATAGAATTGTCAATGTAAACCTCTTGCTGTTGTCCAGAAACTGGAATGCTTAACCAAATGGTTAAATAAGCTACTTAGAAATGATGATTGATCTGTTCACTCCTAAGTGTTAGGATTTTTTTTAAACTGCATTGTTTTGTATCTGGAATTACTCTGTTTTTTTTTTTATCACAAGCATACTACTATTTGATCATTATATTTTTAAAATTTTGTCACTAGGTTAAAATTTTTATATAGAATTTGACCCTAATAATTTTTTAAAAATTACTTATTAAAAATCCATTTATTTATTTTGTCAGCTAGTCAGAGAAATCCATCAGCAATCACATAAAACAAATAAAGTTAAAAAAAGGTAACTTTGAATGGCAGTTATAGATTCTGTGGCACACACTGCCTAGAATCCACCACCCCCTGCCTGTTGTTACATGATATGACATATTTAGTCGTACGTGGTTCTCGCTCACTGACGGCCAGATGACCGAGCAGTCAAGGTGGCAGCATCAACTGTTGTAATTTTGGTTATTAATAATTTCCAATGCAGCGCTCTGAGGTCCCAAGTACTTTTTTACCTTACTTTTTCCCCCTTTTCCTTTATACTTCTCCCTTCAGAACCTTTCCTTCAACCTTTTCTTCACCCCTTTTTCTTCCTAGTGGGTTAAGTTTGCAAAAGCAGGCAGCCCCTCTTTCTTTATTAGAGTATTAGAGCCTACCATGCTGGGGATCTGCTATTGAATCCAAATGGGTCAAAAAATCCCCAGGAATTTTTCAGGAGGTGGTCCAACCAGATATGTTGGCTTCTGTCCCTCACCACCCAGCCACTATTGTGGGCCTCGTCAAACTCATAATGAGCTTTCTAAAAAGAGGCCCTTTTAGTGCCCACAGGGCAGAAAGAGTTGAGAAAAAAAAATAGTTTCTGCACTTTATAGAAAGTTTCTTATTAGTTTGTTTGATAGAGGAACATTAATTAGTTCATTTAAATGAAAATGCTGAATTCATGAAAATACTGTATCAAAACCTCATTTGAGTTAAACATTTTGTTTTAACATGTAAATCCCTATGCTAGATGATTGGAAAAAGAAAGCAAGTTCAAGAAAACATGATTTTGAGTTAACCAGGTTCCACTGTACCAATAATTCTTTTACAATTTAATGGAGTTTAATTTTTGATTAATTCAAAGCTTATAGATTTAAAATGAGTGAATCATTACATTATTGCAGTTCAAGTATAAATTCCAAAGCAAAATTGGTGTAGTAAAGAAGCCATCTTATTAAGATGCTTTGAGATGTTTTGGAAATATATTCTGGTTTCATATTCAATACATAATTCTGAGTTAAAGTGTTGATGTAACTTTAAAAGTTGTTTTGTTATACTTTGACATAGTTAAAAGCAGGGCTGTGGAGTCGGAGTCTTGGAGTTTTGATGTTTTAGCCGGAGTCGAATGGTAAGGAAGAGTCGGAGTTGGTAGATTTTTACGCGACTTTCACAGCCCTGGCAGGGCTGTTGAGTTGGAGTCGGAGCCGGAGTCGTGGAGTTTTGGTGTTTTAGTCGGAGCCGGAGTCATGGAGTTTTGGTGTTTTAGTCGGAGTCGGATGATAAGGAAAAGTCGGAGTTGGAGTTGGTAGATTTTTACGCGACTCCACAGCCCTGGTTAAAAGTAATTTTATTAAAGTTATTATTGCATCTGATGCAGTTTAAAATAATAATCTTAGATATCATGTGACAGTTTGCTACTCTCCTTATTAAGTATATTCATACAATATATATTGTTTTGCTTATTTGTTGATTTGCTTTTTGTTTAATCTGTTACATTTAATCTGTAATTATTGAGCAAGTATTATACTATAGTATTCCCAGACTGAGAATGAGCCAATGTTGAGTTTAAAATGTGTATCACTTTACTACTATAGCTAAATAATACAGTAACAGTAAGAACAGAATAAAAAGTGAAAATTCAAACCTATCATATCCTATGGGACATCATTTGACCTTTTTTCCACAATCTCAAATTTTTTGCAAAAATGTGGAAATTTCAAATAGATTGTAAGAATTTAAACATATATTCGAATATATGTTCCATATATCTTAGAAAATTTAGTCTTTATCAAGTGTTATCAGTATGTCTTCAAGTGTTAAAATGATGCTTCTCACACACTATCACTGAAATTTATATATAGCTTCTCTTCTGTGTTATTTTTTCTCTATGTTCTGCTGATGGAAAGATGATGTATGACTAGAACAGTTTGAAAATTCAAAGTTATGTTCTCTGAAAGTGTTCTTGCTGTTCAAAGCTGCAACTGAGGAAGCCCACTTATATTGGGCAAAAATACTTTTAAACAGTGTATTATTGTTATTTCTCTTAAAAAGAGCAAATAAATTTGTTCAATGTTGCTACTAGCCATTTACTTTATATTATGTTCTACTTTGTAATGAACATAGAATTTCCTTTGGAGCAGATATTCATTAGTCTACATACACATTCTTATTTTTATGATGTTATCCTGATTGTCTTTTTAAATAAAATCTATTGTTGAGAACTTTAAGTTCATTCTTTTATGATTTTTAATTGTAAGTTTGAGTCAATACTTTGTAATTATTCATCCAAGCTGTTTAGTCTCTTGCAAGTTATTCCTGTAAGTTGATCAAATTGAATCTAATAGTTAAAGAAGATTGAATCTAATAGAAAACTTAAAGTTGAAAGCCTGGTGAATTCATTTATCTTTAGCATAGCTATCTTAATTACAGTTTTAAATCTCTTATACTCATGATTTTGCATGTATATAGTTATTATTTTATATTAATTACTCTGTACTATAAATAAAATATAAACTTTTTGATTCAAATGATCATCATAGATTGTCTTTTTTACAGATGAATGTTTATCATTACCTGAATGGTTGAAGATGCTATTAGTAATATCTTGTTTTGTAAATGTTGATGATTTTCATTTTCCTGCCATAACAACTATTGTAGAATTAATTGCTCTCACGCAATCTATTAAAATTGCACCAGAAACAAATCAGACAAGCCCAGTTCCTGCTTCTCCCAATTCTGTGCATTCATCATCATCAGTTGTTTCTGTTGTCATTGTTCCTATGATAAATTCTGCTGAACTAGAATATATCTGGGATGAAATGATGTTTTTTAATATTGCTGTTGTTAAATTATGGAAATATTTGGATGAAAGTTTGCCTAAATATCATCTTCATAGTGTTGAGCTTTTGCAACAATTACATAATTTAGCCAAAGATAGCAATGTATGTGAAAAAATTGTATGTAACTCTATGGCCAGTACTAATGAATTGGTAAGTTCAATTTTAAAGTAATTTCTTGTTAAACTATAAACCAATTAACAACTAATATATATTATTATATTCAACTAATATTCACTGATAAATTAAATATTCAAAAGTCATCTCTGAAATTCAATAAAGTATATTTAATAGAATTTGTTTAAAGTTGTTGGGCATACAAAAATAATTATGAGATGAATAAATAGCTCTGTTAAACATAATCTGTTTTTATTTTGATAAATCAAAAATATGAAAGGATGGAATTCCAAATTAAAATATCAGATGCTATTTTAAAAAGATAAGTCATGTTGATTAAAAAATGTACCATTCTATATGCAATTATAAATTTCCACTGGCGTCTGCTTGTCTGTCTGTTCTTAATCTCAAGAATAGAGTTAGATAGATGAAAGTACAGACCAGATAAAGAAAGCTAAGATTAATTATATGAACTTCCAGTTTGCACCAGATGTCGCATTATTTCAATTCAAAAATTTTCTCTGGAATGGAGTTAGATAGATAACTGACATGATTTCATTGTTAACAGGAAAAGTATGATGTACAGGGGCAAGACACTACTAAAATTGAGAGCAGTGTGACAAGAAATTACAGACCAGCATTGTGATGATGTCACAATAAATAATTGCTTGTTCAAAAATATTTTTATCAGAATGAGGTTATATGTCAATATCTTTTGTTAATATTCATAAATGCAGTATTATTATGTTTTAATATATTTGAGTTTAACACTAGGAACATCAGAATTTGTTTATACCAAGAACCAGCATTACAGGTCATTTTGACCTGTAATAGGAAAATTGCAATTAAAGAGTCTGATGTATTTATTTTGACATGTATTTTTATTATACATATTTCTGAATATATTTTTTTGCTATTAAAATGCATAAATGACCAAAAATTAATTTATTCACTCAGTACATTTTACTACATGTCAAGCACTAGATACATACTAGCTTAAAGGGGATGAAGACCAGGGCCACTCATAGGTATTGCCTGGTTTGAAATGGATTGAGAGGGAAAGGATTAAGGGAAGAGATGAAGGGGAAAAGTAAAGTGAGATAGGAAAGAGGATGAAAGTGGGAGTTACATGGGTGTCAGTATTGGTACTTTATTTAACAAAATATAAATTGTTACATAAATAAAAGGCATATTAACAGTATGACAAAATGCCCGTACTGAGGGTGTTACATAAGGAAACTGCAAATGGTGCAACAGGAGGATATGACTTGGAGTTACAGTACGAAAATGACGTGAAACTAGTCCCAACAATCAGATGTTACATTCAGATGTGAATAAAGGGAATGTAGGATTTAAGATCACGGCAGCATGTTTTTTGCTGTTACAAGGTATTAAAATAGAACAATCTAGACATGTCAAGCACTACCTGAATCTCTGCTGTACATTTTCCGTAAACAGGAACTTTGCAAGAATTACAGAATTGCATTGTGCGATTGCCATTACTTCGGCAGTAGGTCCCCTTATAATTTCTTCTTTTGTTCTCTACTTTTGTAAAAAAAAACTGAATTTCTAGATTTTTCAAGGTTTGGAGTGGTTGGAATGGACTGTTGTGTTTTCTTTAGGTACTGTTGATGTAGTATTCTGATAGTTTTTGGAGATATTTGTACCTTGGAATGCATTTTTGAGTTATCTCTTTGTATAATATATTTGCATTGACAGCTGCTAAATCCAGGATGACAGAAAACACTGTTACAGTCCAAAATCTTGACAAGCTTCGTGTACTTTTTGTTCTACAAAAATCTCAACAGTGTCTTACATTCTCAATTATACTTGAGTTTATTTCTTAAGAATCTTTCAACAAAGCAGGAATCTTCTATTATAATTATAATTAAGAAAATCACTGTAACAGGGATTAGAATTACAGTGTAACTTTTCTGTGTTGAAACCATGCCCTCCTCTATGTTATATTTTTTGAGACACCATGAAGTGTTGACACTATAGATACTAGACAGTGGGTGTAAAAAAGTCCTATGTGTAGTGTCAACACTTTATGGTGTCTCAAAAATTAGAATTATAACTTTATCAAATTCTGTATTAACAATATTTATTTTACACACTAACAGAATAATTTCACACTTTTAGCTGATGTATTTCTATTTCCATTATTCTAACTCATGACAATTACGTTTTTATCCTCCTCCAACTTATAAAATTTAACATTGTGTTACCTTTATTATTCAGTATACTTTTGCTCAGAACCATCTCTTTATCCACAATAGCTTTTATATTAGAAAGCTCACGCTGATTGTATTGTACTGTTCCCTTCATGCTAGATTTTCACTGAATATACGGAATTTAGTAATGAAAGATATTGTAACTTGTCACAAGTAGTGTTGATACCTGAATACATATAATTATTGACAAGTTTTATGATAATATACTGTGCCAATGATATTTCTCCTGGATGTGACACCCCTTTACCAGGGTAAGGAAAACTATTTAGAAAATATGTTTATTTCCTATCAGCCAGAATCCAGAACTTGGTGTCCAATTTGTCAGGTTTGTTTCGCATATATTGAATAAAAGCACAGTGTAATTTGCATCAGAGCAAGTGTTCATCAACAAAAACAGATCATTTGGATTGAAGCATTTCATGTAATGTGTACTGACAAAATGAGATTCACTCGTCTTATCATTAGAACATTTTTTAATCATTTTTCATATATGTATACACTTAGAAATCATACATACACATAACAAATGTATGTTAAGAATATCCTCATTATTGAAAAACGTCATTTTAATAATATCTTGGTAAAATTTTTGTTAGATATCGATAAATAAAACTACAGGCAAAATGACCCATAGTTGGTGGTTTATAGTATATTTTCAAAAAATTATCAGTTTTTGAAAACATTGTCCCATTGTAAGATAATCTAGTTTTTGGTAAAATTGTGAAATTTGAAAGAAAAAGCTTTGAAAATTCGAAAGATATGCAACATTCTATAAGCTATACAGGTCAAAATGACCTGTATGGTGGCTCTAGTATTAAAAAATATTGAGTTAAGTATTTTAGAATAATGGAAAAAAATTTGAATTTAAAAATTGTTGGATTTATTTACAGATTTTGTTTAGTATAATGAATAAACCATACCATAAGAGATCTTGAATTTGAAACTATTTCAGGCTACTCAATTGATTTACTATTTTAAACTCCTTTCTGTCAAATATTAATATAATAATTTTTCCAAATGACAGTAAAATTTAGCAAAACACTTATTTACTTATCAATCTATGATTTTAGTATGATATTAAAAACTTTAATTACCTTACTAATAAACATTTAATGAAGTCATTAAAGGATATATTCGTAAGCAGTGATGTAACAAGTAAGTTTTGTGCAGATTTCTTATTAGAAATTGTATGTGAACTGCATTTTCCTTTAATATGCTGTAAGTAGCAATTAAAATGTTGTAATGATAGTAATATTTTAATAAAATGTACAGTATATAAAAATAGAATAACAATGAAAATAAGAAAAATGAGGGAGTGAACTATTGTATAAGATTAAACTCTGTAAGATTGCAATGAAATATTGCAAATGCTGTATAACTCTCATACACAAATGCACATGCACACACTTAAACACACACACACACACAATATGATAGTGCCACTGAAAATAAATGAAAGCACATGTTAGAACAGTTACTTCATACTTCCACTTTTACTAGTGCAAGTTTCAAATTTTTCACAAATGTGCCTGGAATTAATTGATTTGGATATCATAATGGATATTAAAGGCATCATTTATTATAGTGGGAATTTGGATACTAGGAGTTCTGATATGGGTGTATTTAGTTTTTTCATATTACAAGGTGTTGGAAATGCCAAACCTCTTAAAGTTTTCTGTGATCATATCTCTTCTGTTTAGTTGAAATCCAAGATAATCATCAGGAGGTAGAAGTAATTTTTTTAGTAAACTTGATGGGAATAATTAATCTAACTAGTAACTCCAATGCTTTTTAAAAATGATCCATATGTTTTTAAAAAGTGGAAAGGTATATTACAAAATCAGTTTTCACTTATCACTCATATATACAGTCAACCCCCCCAAAATGCGGTAGATAAGTTCTGCTTTATAAGAATTTCACATTGTAGGAATCCTTAAATACATGAGCCAATCACAGCCCAACACGTGTGAAGTTTACGACTACGGCTGTTTGAAAGATTTTCTTCAATAAAATTAATTGATTCTAGATTAATTTGACTCAACATTTCCAAAACACATATAATGTTTTGGAATAATCCATATAAACTATGCTATAAACAAAAAATTGTAGGATTATTTACCGAGTGTGCGCCGTTCGATGATGCCATTGCTTAAGCTTGTTTTCGTTGCGGAGTGACTCATCGAACGGTGGGCGTGTGTTTCCTGATAAGTTATTTTTCTGCGAAAAATTCACTGAACTTTGGAGACATCATTAATATAAATATAATTTTTATGGCAATTAAATAATAAATGGTTTTTAGTAGGTCTGCTGCTTGTTTAAACTCAACAGTTTGTGCAATGTCCGTTATTGGTCTAGATTCGACCAATCCTGTTGTGACATGAGTTGGCGATGACGTTTTATCATGTTATACGCATCTCTTTTAGCATGTTATATGAACACAATTGCAATTTTTTTTCTGTGTTATATGAATCCGTGTTATATGAACCCGTTTTATAGGGGGTCTACTGTTATGTCTTTTCAAGATGATTCATAAGTTGATACTAAAATCTATGGCAAAATTTTTGCTAAATATAGTACATTGAAGCTTTTTTTTGTGTGTATTTTTGTGTGATAATACAGTAATAGGATAATTTTGAATTCAAGATGATGTCTTTTTTAACTAATAGAGGACAATACTTCATAAAATTTAAATTTGTTATTTTATTCAGCTTAAGTAATTTTTAACATTAATTTTACAAAGTTGAGAAGTTAGAATATTGAAGGTAAATTTGTTTTTTGTCAGGAACAAGTATCTGCTCAGAAAAAGTTCTGCATTTTATGGCACATGACTCGAGATTTGAGATTGAAATCTACTCCTACTCGAATGATGAGAGCATTTGATAGGTAAGTCAAAATTAATTCAAGTTTTATATATTTATGTTGAATGTATGAACAAGTTATTTACAAAACACTACTTTTTAATGATTTTACTTAAACTATTAGTTTTATTTTAATTATATATAATATTTACATTAGAGTAAGAGAAATTTTCCATATAAAAGAAATATAATAAGAATCCCAAGTAAAGATTATAATTAAAAATAAAATGATCTGAAAGTAATCCTTAATTTATAAATCAAGTTTAAGCCATTACATAATTTGTTTATAAATTCTTTATTAATTTACACACCTATTATAGGTATGGATGGCTGAACAGTTAAGATGTCAGTCAGCCTACTGCTCTGGGGATCTGGGAGTGAATTCAGACAAGTTGAAAATCCCAAAGATTTTTCAGAGAATGATCCATCCTGGATATGTTGGGTTTAATCCCTTATCACTTGGCTTTCCTGTTGTGGGACTTGATTGAACCACAATGGTTTGATTAAAAAACCCTTTTAGTGCCCCCCCAGAACAAAAAGACTAAAAAAATATTTTAGGCTTTTTTTCTAATTGATCTCTTAATAAATCTGAGATCTTTCTCCTTCTCTGTAATAAATATTTTTCAGAAATTTGAAATATTTTAATTAGTTCTGTCAGGTGATACTATTATCTATATGGTTTCTATGTTATATATATATTATTCTATAGAAGTGATTATTGAAATATTAATGTTATTTTTAGGTGTTTATTTCTAATGTTAGAAAATTTGGGGAAAGAAACAGGACCTCAGAAAGCTGTTTCTCAATGTTGGTTAAATCATTCCTTACAGCGTGGTGATGTTGCTAGGATACTTGAACCAATATTATTAATTTTACTACATCCTGATTCAGCTAGAGTGTCCATCCAACATGTCAGTGTCCACTGTCCAAAATTAAAATCAGATGATGAAACAGAACAGGAAGAATTGAAGGAAGCAAAAATTTATGCTATTAGCAGTGTAAGTGGGAATNTGCCACTGAAAATAAATGAAAGCACATGTTAGAACAGTTACTTCATACTTCCACTTTTACTAGTGCAAGTTTCAAATTTTTCACAAATGTGCCTGGAATTAATTGATTTGGATATCATAATGGATACTAAAGGCATCATTTATTATAGTGGGAATTTGGATACTAGGAGTTCTGATATGGGTGTATTTAGTTTTTTCATATTACAAGGTGTTGGAAATGCCAAACCTCTTAAAGTTTTCTGTGATCATATCTCTTCTGTTTAGTTGAAATCCAAGATAATCATCAGGAGGTAGAAGTAATTTTTTTAGTAAACTTGATGGGAATAATTAATCTAACTAGTAACTCCAATGCTTTTTAAAAATGATCCATATGTTTTTAAAAAGTGGAAAGGTATATTACAAAATCAGTTTTCACTTATCACTCATATATACAGTCAACCCCCCCAAAATGCGGTAGATAAGTTCTGCTTTATAAGAATTTCACATTGTAGGAATCCTTAAATACATGAGCCAATCACAGCCCAACACGTGTGAAGTTTACGACTACGGCTGTTTGAAAGATTTTCTTCAATAAAATTAATTGATTCTAGATTAATTTGACTCAACATTTCCAAAACACATATAATGTTTTGGAATAATCCATATAAACTATGCTATAAACAAAAAATTGTAGGATTATTTACCGAGTGTGCGCCGTTCGATGATGCCATTGCTTAAGCTTGTTTTCGTTGCGGAGTGACTCATCGAACGGTGGGCGTGTGTTTCCTGATAAGTTATTTTTCTGCGAAAAATTCACTGAACTTTGGAGACATCATTAATATAAATATAATTTTTATGGCAATTAAATAATAAATGGTTTTTAGTAGGTCTGCTGCTTGTTTAAACTCAACAGTTTGTGCAATGTCCGTTATTGGTCTAGATTCGACCAATCCTGTTGTGACATGAGTTGGCGATGACGTTTTATCATGTTATACGCATCTCTTTTAGCATGTTATATGAACACAATTGCAATTTTTTTTCTGTGTTATATGAATCCGTGTTATATGAACCCGTTTTATAGGGGGTCTACTGTTATGTCTTTTCAAGATGATTCATAAGTTGATACTAAAATCTATGGCAAAATTTTTGCTAAATATAGTACATTGAAGCTTTTTTTTGTGTGTATTTTTGTGTGATAATACAGTAATAGGATAATTTTGAATTCAAGATGATGTCTTTTTTAACTAATAGAGGACAATACTTCATAAAATTTAAATTTGTTATTTTATTCAGCTTAAGTAATTTTTAACATTAATTTTACAAAGTTGAGAAGTTAGAATATTGAAGGTAAATTTGTTTTTTGTCAGGAACAAGTATCTGCTCAGAAAAAGTTCTGCATTTTATGGCACATGACTCGAGATTTGAGATTGAAATCTACTCCTACTCGAATGATGAGAGCATTTGATAGGTAAGTCAAAATTAATTCAAGTTTTATATATTTATATTGAATGTATGAACAAGTTATTTACAAAACACTACTTTTTAATAATTTTACTTAAACTATTAGTTTTATTTTAATTATATATAATATTTACATTAGAGTAAGATAGAAATTTTCCATATAAAAGAAATATAATAAGAATCCCAAGTAAAGATTATAATTAAAAATAAAATGATCTGAAAGTAATCCTTAATTTATAAATCAAGTTTAAGCCATTACATAATTTGTTTATAAATTCTTTATTAATCTACACACCTATTATAGGTCTGTGAATTGACTTAAAATTGCGGATTTATTCAAAATCAAGCAATTATAGCAAAATAACAATATATGAATAGTTCTATTTTTTGTTTTTTAATTTTAAAGTATAATATATGTTAGAATATAGCTTTTTTCATAGAAAATGCAAAAAATTTCATAAAATTAGTCAAAAGTTATGAGTTCTACGCCTTATCTTGCCAAGAATGACAATCTTTGTTCATATTTACAATATTGTATCTTAGCTAATATTTTATATTTATGGATGGATGGATGAACAGTTAAGATGTCAGTCAGCCTACTGCTCTGGGGATCCGGGAATGAATCCAGACAAGTTGAAAATCCCAAAGATTTTTCAGAGAATGATCCATCCTGGATATGTTGGGTTTAATCCCTTATCACTTGGCTTTCCTGTTGTGGGACTTGATTGAACCACAATGGTTTGATTAAAAAACCCTTTTAGTGCCCCCAGGACAAAAAGACTAAAAAAATATTTTAGGCTTTTTTTCTAATTGATCTCTTAATAAATCTGAGATCTCTCTCCCTCTCTGTAATAAATATTTTTCAGAAATTTGAAATATTTTAATTAGTTCTGTCAGGTGATACTATTATCTATATGGTTTCTATGTTATATATATATTATTCTATAGAAGTGATTATTGAAATATTAATGTTATTTTTAGGTGTTTATTTCTAATGTTAGAAAATTTGGGGAAAGAAACAGGACCTCAGAAAGCTGTTTCTCAATGTTGGTTAAATCATTCCTTACAGCGTGGTGATGTTGCTAGGATACTTGAACCAATATTATTAATTTTACTACATCCTGATTCAGCTAGAGTGTCCATCCAACATGTCAGTGTCCACTGTCCAAAATTAAAATCAGATGATGAAACAGAACAGGAAGAATTAAAGGAAGCAAAAATTTATGCTATTAGCAGTGTAAGTGGGAATGTTATATATCATGTAAGTGATGATAGTCATACCTCATCTCATCAGGGAAGTCCAGAGAAAAAAATACTTGCTCTAACATCAATAATAAACATGGGAAATAAAGAATCTAAAGTAGTTACATCAAATTCAATGCTACAAGATTTTGAGCTGCCATCATCACATGAACGTGAAATTTCACTCCCTATTTCCTTATTTGTTAATCCATTTGGATCCCTCATGTCTTTAAATAGTGATATGACTAATGAAACATCAAATCTACCAGATCTAACTAATGTGAAAAGATTAGATAGTACAAGCAGAATAATTAATTCTTTTGATGATAATGAAGTAGAATCAAAACCTGTTTCTGTTGAACAACAGAAAGAAATGTCTTCTGTGGAAATAGTTTCTAGTATTTTAGATGAAATTCTGAATATTGTTACATCTGAAAACAAAATAGAAAATGATAATGTTTTTGGGTTTCCTTCAGATTATGGACTAGAAGAAATTTATCAAGAGTTAGAAAGCATATCATTATCCAGAAATAAAATTCCTAGGGATAATGATAACACTGATTTGTCTGAAAATCAAGATTATGAAATGCTTACTATTCATCCACTTCATTCATATATTCTTTTATACTGTCAAGTCTATGATTCTCAAAAAACTATGTATGCTTTATCTTCACTCAAAGCAGTTATTTTAACAAATCCTCGTGTTGCATTATGTAACATGTCCACAACCAATATCAGCAGTTCATTAAGTTCTAGAGGACAGGAATTACAAATATTACTTGCTAGACATAGAAAGTCTGTGTTTGGAAACAATTTTCATGGAGAAATAAATGCAGAATCAATAACTGCATATCGTAGCAGCACATTTGTTGAAGTAATTGTGTCCGCTTGTCTTTATTACATTCGTGGATATTATCCTAATTTTCCCCAAGTTCGATTAACTGAAGAAGAAGTAGTCGGAAACAGAAATGTGAGATTGTTGTGCACCGAAGTTCTTACGCTTGTGTTTTCTGAATTAGTTGGAATTGTGAAAGATAGTGGCAAGAGTTTTGCTTCTTATTTGAATGATCTATTGATGAGATGCAAAGTGCAAAAGATTTTGCTTCACTGCCTGATCGCAAGTGTATATAATTTGCAGTTAACACAAAAAGATTATTCTGAAAGGCAAGTGACATTTACAGAAACCATTATTGAATTTAGTGAAAGACCATCTAAAGGTGATCAAGATAAAGAAAAAAAAGATGATTTTCAAGATACATTTCAAGTAAGAAAAATGTTTATTAGTTATCCTTATATTTTGACTTTACTGTAATAATAATGTGTATAGTTTTAGTTATCCAAGATAACCAAAAATTCTGATAACTGTACAATATACTCAATATACAATAATTTTTAGGTTAGACCTATTTATTGAACATAATGATTTAAATTATACCGTAAAAATACTTTTGATTTTATTTAGGACAGTGTTATGAAATTTTATTAAAGCAGATTTTTTGAATCATTTTTATAATTTGCATTGTTATGAGAAGTCATTAGAGTAAATTCTTTTTAAAACTTCTAGAGCTCCCTATGATTACCATACATCATCTGACTAAAATTTGTGAAACAAACTCTCTTTTTAATTTTGTTGACAAAGTACTTTTTCACACTTCATCTTGAATATTGTAGACTCTTACTTAATTGGGACTATTATACCGAATGAGTCAAAATTTCTTCACACCCTTTTCATTTCAGAGGCATTGAAGATATATTAATTTTTTTAATGTAGTTACATAGGAATTCATGCATGGAGAGAGGATGGAATCTTTTAGGTCACTTAATTAATTAAAATAGCTTTACTCCTTATGAATTTAAAGTTGTAAATTATGTAACCATAAATAAATTTATTTAAATCCAGAAAATGGTTTTATACTAAATGAATTGTGCTCTTTAACTTTGTTATCAAAACTTTTACATGTAACTTTTTAACAAGTAGGGTTAAATGTAAGTGACCTTGAAAATCATTTTCACAGTCAACTAAAAGGTCCATCCAATTTTTCATTCATGCATACCTATGTAACTATTTCAGTACTTTTGGAATGAGAAGAGTGCAAGGGACTTTCAACTCTCCTTGTATAATTAATATTGTATAGAATATTGTATAGGTATAATATTACATACACATATAAAAAAATAAATTCTGAAGATATTAAAGACAAAATTATAAAACACACAAAAATTTAATTATTGTTAAGAGTATTTTAAAATTAAATAATTAAATAGTTTTGACTGTTATCAATATTTAATCACTTTTATAATAGTTTTCTTGTATTAAAAGCTGATGCTTAAATTTCAGATATATTTATTACGTTTAGTAGCAACTTTAATTGTTTTAGAAGATACAATTATATCTCAGTGCAGTTCAGAAAAAGATGGACGGAGTGGTTCAAGTATTAAGACAGATGGAGCAGAAAGGACATCTCGCACAAGATTTTCCAATCAGATGTCTTCAGATAAATATCATCCAGGTATGAAAACAATTGATTTAAATAGATAGAGATTTGGAATGCATATCAATATCAGTGTGTTTTTTATATTTGAAAAGTTACATTACTGTACAATAAGTTTAATGTTAAGTCATTTTCTATAGTATGTTTTAAAACTAGTAAATTTTTATTATTAAAATATAACAACAACAAAAAGTAATGTAAATGTTTTTCATTTAAAGGTATTCACATTCCATCACAACCAATGTTATTGACAGCCATCATCAGTGCTCTTCGTCAGACACACAAAACTCATCTCCATACATATTGGTTATCATTAGTGACATCAACTCTACCATTTGCTGGTTGTTCTCTCACTCATTTAGTGATATCTGTTGTTAGTCAGTTATGTCATAATCTGGAAATGGTGGCATCTGTTTATAGTTATGATGTTAATTCTGACAAGTATGCAGTTTCAAGATTTCTTTAAAAATAAACTATATCTTTATATAAATTATTATTTTTTTTATTTAATTTTTTCTGTTTATTTAAATTAGGAATGAAAAATTATCCCAAGAACTTTTTGAAACACCACCAGATTATCTGTTAACAATTATTGAAGGCTTGACGACTTTGTGCCATTATTGTTTACTAGATTCTCCGGCCCCTGTTTCGACGCCAATTAGTCCCCCGCCTTTACCACCGACTCCTTCTCAGCCATACGCACCAGGTGCTAATGCATCACAAATAATTAGCAATCTTCTTCATGTATTTTCTACATCAAATGGTCAAAAGGTAATAATAAAAATGATATTTGATCTGAAGTTATATTTATTATAATTAAATTTTTTAATTTTAGTATATAACAGCATATCAAGAACATGGTAATTCAAAGGAGATAATACTTACGACACGTCGTGTTCTTTTAAGCAACATGCCACGTATTTTGGCCAGCATCAGTTCTGTATGGCAATCTTTAATGATTATGGAACAAAAGAAACCTGATCTTCCTCAACCTTCTAGAATTATGGGCTCACCAAAGGCACTATAACTAAAACTTTTATTATTTAAAATAACATTTTTTGTTCTTTATCAGTTTCTATATTTTATATTTATTTAACAGGCAGTAAAACAGCACATTTTAAGCTTCTTAAGCCCAATATCTTTGAATTATGGATCTAATTTTATGGCAGCTGTAGCAGTTGTATGGTTTGATTATCGTTTGAAAGGATCATTTACTTCTAGAAAAGTATTTTAGATACAAAAAATTAAAAAATTAACCAACAAAGTCAATAAATAAACAAATATATTTCAATCTTAAATATCTTTACAGGTAAATTTAACATGGTCTAATGAACAACTGTTACTTGTCCAGCTTGTTGGTGCAATAAAAGTTTTGCCCATGGAAACAGTAGTCCAAAATGTTAGGCAAGTTTTACGTCAACCGCCAACAACATCGTATGATAAAAATAAAAGTGTAAGTATTATAATTCTTTTTATACCAATTGGTAATTTTGAATACAGAATGGTATATTTTAATTATAATATAATATTTACTTCAAGTTAATTCAATTTATACTATAGTTTTCCAAGTACTGTTAAATACAATATTATATAAAATTTTTATTATAATTTAAAATGAAATTTATTCTCAGAGAATTCAGTTTACAGTTCTGTACAAAATCATACAACATTTATAAATTAATATTTTCAATGCTAGATAGGTATTGTTCTCAGACCTTGCATACAAAACTTTGAACAATCCTCTCGGACATCCAACTAGAAAATCCAAAACTAGAAAATACAAAACTTTGAACAAGAATGTTAGTTCTAGAATAAAATTTACAAACTAGTCATTTAACATACTATTAGATGATGCTTGAAAAGCACTGGAAATAATCTATAAATATTTTATGAACTTAAAAAATTGTAAATTGGACTTTCTGTAAGAATTAATTGAAGTTAAGAAGTTGCACTATAAGAATGTCTAAATTAAAATCAAATTCTTTAATGTTTTGTATTTGTTACAATTATAATAAAGTAAATAAATAAATATAACTTTAAAATCTAGCAGCAGATTTTACTAAACATTCATTTTATTTATTAAAAACTGCTTGAATGTCATATTTTTTAACTTGTTATTTATTAAATTTTATTGTTCAAATTTTTTATTTAAAATTTTTATTAAAATTATTATTTACAACTTTTATTTTTAGAATAAAATTGAATATAAATCATGCTATACTTTTCTTGAAATAGAATAAAAAAGTTCCATTGGAAGTAAATGTTCTTCAGTTCTTTCTGGCTTATGTTCAAAACACTTCAGGATCACAACTTAATGAATCTCGTCAGTCTCTGTTAGGTCTTTGGAGAGATGGTCTTCAAATTGTTTCTTTGCCACCGGTACAGTTTCATCTTCTTGCGTAAGTGAATTTAGTTTTTTAAATAATTTATTTATCTAAAATTTTACATTAGAAAATTATTTTTTTTTTTTTGTAGAATACTTCATGAATTTGTACAGAAAACACCACTTATTGAAGATAAAAAGAATCAAAAAGATCTTCAAGTAAGGAAATAGAATTTTTTTATTTTAATTTATATTTTAAATAATTAAACAAAAATTATATTTCTAGGATGTAGCACAAAAATTAATTGAAGCATGTAGTACAGTGGCAGGCTCATGCTTAGAGCAGACCACTTGGTTGTGGAGGAATTTGGCAGTTCGACCTGGTCCACAGCATGACATACCAGATTCTGATCCAGATGTTGAAGAAGGTAACAATTATTTAAAAAATTTTTTCTGATATTGATTACATGAAAAATTATTAATTTATTAGAATATAAATATTAACAAGTTTGAAATTTATTTTATTCTTATTGTTATTAAAGAACCACCTGTTGAAGAAAATAAGAATCAGTCAGGAGATAAGGAAGACATATCACAGTTATCCAGCAATGGCATTAATAACACTCAATATTATAGTGTACAAGCTCTTTGTGTATTAGCAGAGGTGAGTTCTGAAGAATCATGACTAGTGAAAGAATATTCTTTAATTATAGGGTAACTGTATTCTTATTAGTTTTAACTCTATAATCCTTTTATATCATGTATAGTATTTCATACAGCAAACAAATATCCAATGGTTTAACCACATACAATTTATTATTCACTTTTCTCTTCTACAGACCGAAATGCATATATAGATGAGAAAATTGGATAAATTGTATGTGGTTAAAACCATTGGATATTTGTTTGCTGTATGAAATACTATACCCGATATAAAAAGATTATAGAGTTAAAACTAATAGTGAAAGAAATATGAAACTTAAATAACTTAATTTTTTTGTATCTCTTCAGAATAGATACAATTATATGTAATGAGTAAATATATTTTTATGAGTTTCCTTATTTAATTGAGGAAACTCATAATTTATATATATATATAAGTTANAAATTATTATATTTTATGGCATATAAGATGTGCTTCATTTAGGAACTGAATATTTAGGAAAAAGTGTTTAGTGCATTTAAGCCATCATGCACCCCTAGCATTTGACCCCCTAATTTTTTTATTGCATTTTGGTTAAAAAAAAAAGGAAAAGAAAAATTAGGGTGCACACTTATTTATCAGGGAAAAAAAGAAGTTTAAAAGAAGTCATTTTCAATTAATATTTACCATTAAAATATTATTTATGAATACAAGCAATAGCTGCTTAGCTAAAGTATAGTAAATTAGCTGTAGTAAGCAGTAATATATGGTTGGCCAGTAAGTCTTTGTGGTTTTTTAATGTGTAAAATTTCAGAGAAGGTAATAACTTTCTCTGAAACTTTATTCAGTAATGTATAGGATGTTTGATTTACATTTTATTGATTTTGGATTGGTGATGGCACTTATGTTGCAGTGACTTCATTTATTTCATGCTTAATGAGGGAATTTTCCTTAAGTTGCATTTTTAAATATTTTTGCACTTGGCTTATTTTAAATATACTTCATTAAATTTAAACTTTAAAAAAAGAGTCTTATCGTGTTACTTTTTCAACAAATTTTTTTCAAGTTTTTCTGTAGTGACCATGTGATGTTCTATTATCTAGTTGGAAGTAACAATCTAACAAGCCTGTTATTTAGAAAGTATTATTGCTCATTTAACTCATGTGCTGTACATAAAATTTATCTTTGTTTTATGAAGGTGGAATTAAGAAATGGCTTTGTCAAGGGCTATAGAAACAGCATCACAATGTCAATCATCAAAACAATATTCAATATTTATTACTAAAGACAGCAATGAAATCTTTTAAAAGACAATAGTGTTTACTCAGAATGTAGTGTATAAAGAAATTTTATAAAGAAAGATTTTAATATTATTTTAATATAAAGGCCTAAATCTGTCTGTTTGTGTAAGTGAATTCTCTATAACTCCTACAATTTTTTGTCCACTCCAGATAAAATTTTGTTTTGTTGCTCTTTATGTTACAACAGATATTAATATTTTTACAAATTATATAGTTTATAGTAACTATTCTTGAATTTCTTCAAATCTTATTATTCTCAAGTCTTTGATCTCTACTTTCTTATAAAAGGTATTCTATCATAAATGATGGGAGAATTTTTAGTAATAAGTATAATGAACTATTGCACAAATGCTATTTATGATAATGTTTCACTCTTTATAAAGTTATAAGTGTAATCGAAAATACCAATCTACAAACTTGCTATTAATATTATCTTACATTAAGAATGTGCTTATATTAGATGTTTTGATAACTGCTATTTTTTTACTAAAATGATTACAAATATAGAAAATACTTTGCATAATTAAACTAATCTATAGAAGATACTAGTAAGTTCTAAAAATATTTTGTAATGATATTTAGTGGTCTTTCAGAATAATGCAAGAAATAATTTAAAATAGATCAGCAGTTTTTTCTCTCAAAAGAAAAATCAAATTTTTAATATTAAAATAAAATTATGTAATTAAATTAAATTTATTAGTTTAAAATGTTTTTTTTCCATAGTATCTTGCTCCAGTATTAGATGTTGTTTATGCCAGTGAAGAGAAAGAAAAGGTTGTTCCTCTTCTCAACAGCATTATGTATTATGTTACTCCATACTTAAGAAACCATGGGTAAGATAATTGTTTACATTAAATGTGAAATAATAATAATAATAATTATAAACAATAATTAAAACTTTTCTATTAGTCCCCACAATATTCCTAGTTTTCGTGCTTGTTCTCAATTATTGGCCAGTGTGTGCACTTACCAATATACTCGCAAAGCTTGGAGAAAAGACGTATTTGAACTTCTTTTGGATTCAGTATTTTTTCAAATGGACACTGTTTCTATTAAATATTGGCAAACAATCATCGATCATCTCATGACACATGACAAGACTACTTTTAGAGACTTCATGAGTAAGTTGGAAATGCATTACAAGTATACATTATTCTGGACTACAAAAATGAAAGTTTTTCTTTTCTTTCTCTCTTTCCAGCGCGAGTTGCAATGGCACAGTCGGCTTCATTGAGTCTGTTTAGCAGCAAAGAACAGGAGTATGAACAGAGAGCACAATTGTTGAAGAGATTAGCATTTGTTCTGTTCTGCAGTGAAGTTGATCAGTATCAAAGATTTATGCCAGATATTCAAGGTATAATGTACATTTTAGTCATTGCATGCATGAAAAATTACTAAATTAATTAAAAATTATTATTATTTTTCAGAACGACTTTCTGAATGTCTCAGATTACCACAGGTGCCTTCCGTTCAAGCGCAGGTGTTTTTGTGTTTTCGTGTATTGTTGATACGTGTCTCTTCGGAGCACGTGACTTCTCTGTGGCCTGTCATAATTACAGAAATGGTAAGTTATAAATATATTTCCATTTACTGTTTTCAAACCTTTTTGTGTTTTTAATTATTATATTAATTTTAATAGTATTTTAAATGCTGAAAATTTGTCTTAATAGGTTCAGGTGTTTCTACAGGTAGAACATGAACTTTGGACTGATTCAGAAGAATTTAGGTAAATTTTCATGGTCATTGATTCAAATTTCAATTTTATTAATTTTTATTTGATAATTTTTGGATATGTATTTGAACTTGATTAACAATAGTATTTAATAACTAACTTAGATAGTAATTAGATAAGATGTACTGTAAATGTTAAAAGATTTGTTATTAGTTATAGTACAATTAGTTATGGCTCAAATAAATATTTGAAATGACTATTTCAAATGTTATTTTTTTCATTTAATGTTTTTGCTTTATAAATATCCATCTTCAAATTCTATAGGATCAGAAATACTCATTATAGATAAGAATTATATGATATTTAAAATAATTTATAATTTTTTTGGCATCTACAAATTGGAATTAAATGCATATTATTTGTATATAATGAAATCAAATTAAGTAAAATTATAATCATTTGGTCTGTGTAAATGTTCTTTATGCTGTTATATTTATATAATCAAATCTGTTTTCTAAATAAAAACTCAAATTTCTAGAACAAACAAATATTTTTGATTTTGCAGAGTGAAATTTGATTCACTTAAATGATTTGTTCTCTACTCAAAATGCATACACCAGTTTTTGTAATCCATTAAGCACTAAAAATACATGTAAATTACTGGAAAATTAATGCAAAATTGATGATGAATATGATATTTTCAGTTAAAACACTGAAAATATCAAAACTCCTGAACTCCAACTAAGATTTAACTGATATTTAGAGAGAGAGATTTTCTAAGTTTAAGTATCCTAATACACCAACTATTAATCCTGATAAGGAAAGTTTTTTAAAGAAATAGGAGAATTAAACTGGTATGTATTACAAGAACTGAGACAACCAAATACAGTATAAAGAAACATGCTTATACAATGACAGTTTTGTTTCACGAGAGCCATATTCAGTCTAGAAATGAAATTGTTTTGTTTTTATCTGTATATTGTTTTCAACTTGTAAATATCATAAAATAATTCCAGTAAAGCAAACTGCATTTGATGCAGAATCAAACATTATAATGTTAATACTATATTTAGCATTGTTGTCAAAGTATTAGTTTGTTAGTTAATTTTTGGTAATGACTTGTAATGTACTACATATTTTTCTCTTATTAACTAGTAGCTCGGGATGCCTCCTAGTGGGCGTTCTTTACAAATTTCCATGAGGCACGGTTCCTTTGACTTGTTTGTTCCTATCAATATGCTCTACAGCTCTGATAAAGTCCCAATTGCGACATATGGTTCTAGATGTCTACCTATTAAACATTCTTTAAAACTTTAAAATAGTTTAATTTGTTTATTTACCTTCACTGGTAAACCTCAATTTTAAATGCATCCACCATTTTTTCATCAAATTTCCTGTGAGTTCACTGAGTCATGGGATGTTGTAAGGTTAATCAAGGCATATAATAATTATTTATACCATTCTGTGGTATAAATATTAAATTCCTATTACAAATGTAATAGGAATTTAATATTTGTAATAGGAATTTAATGTTTGGCTATTACATTTGTAATAGGAATTTAAATATTTTTAATAATTAATTTAAAATCATTACTAGGGCGCCTCTAGTGCCTGTTTTTCTCATACCGTTACGTGGACAGACACACGTTCAATGGGTTATAAGATATAAAGTTCAGAGAGAAAATATTAACAGAACTATCTATCTGATGAGATTCAATTGCTGAAAAGATATTAATTATTGTTGTTAAATGTACTCAGTTATTTGTTAATTGATTTTCTCCATGCTTATTTGATTTTGCTGGGATCATTTTGTATTTACATGTTGAAAGAACACATCATAAAATTATGAAGTTTCTTTCTTCAATCTACATAAATAATTGCCACAATATTGCATTTGTTTGCCTCAATTTCTGTATTATATATTTCTTTTATTCTTTAATTACCTTTCCTGTTACTGTATACAAGGTCCTACACATCTGGAAACTCAGGGATTTTCATTAGTGTTCAGAAAAAGTCATGGAATGTCAGGGAATTCATTAAAAATTGTCAAAAATGTCAGGGGAATTTGCTTCTGTCTTGTTGATTTTATGCTTGATCAAGTGTAGCCATCTGCTGACAGCAAGAAGTAATATGATGCAATACAACTTATGTAAAGGAGCTTGCACAAAATTTTTCCAAAAATTTACAAAGTACACAAAATGATGATAAATAATACCATTTAAACTATTTATTTTCTATTTTAATAATTTGGATTTCATAACAAAACAATATCAGATTTTTTTTTCCAGTTAGTAATTTTATAAAATTCAGGAAATTTATTGAGAGCTAAATGTAATAAATATATACTTTTGTACATGGATTACATAGAATTTGTTAATAAATAATAAAAAAATAATTGATTATTTTTTCTTTTTTTCAAAGCCTTGTAGATAGATTTATGATTGTGGATTAATAACAGAATTTTAATAATACATTTTATTTTTAATTTTAATAATTCAGCAATTATAAAAAATATATAACTGTTAATTAGAAAAAAAAATTAATTAATTAAAATGTTGGAGAAGCAAAACATATATGTATAGTAACTCAAATGCTGTTTTATTTTGTCAATGTGCCGTACTGTAAGGGACATGTGGATAAGGGAATTTGTACGAAGTTGGTCAGAGAAAGTCATGGAAATAAAAACAAAAATTTGAGTAAGAACCTTGTATATTAGAACTTGATTGCCTACTGTTTTCTCAATTAGTTGTATTTCCTTCAGAATTAGCACAAGGTTGCTGTTGAGAATGTTAATTTCAAATTTTAAAGTTCTTATAAAATTAAAACTACAAAACTTAAAAAATGCAATTAATTGAAAATAATTTCTAGATAAGTTGATAATTGTACATTTTCAAGCATTTTCCAAAGTTTCTGCATTTCTGTAATGCATTCCCCCTCTGATTTTCTGTTTGAAAACTTTAAGTCCTTTGTGTACATCAGTTTTCATGGGGAATTAAATTGTTTAACATTATCTTCCTTCTCTCACCTTATGTGAGTATTGTTGTGTTGCAAAGCAGGTTTGTGGCATTGTACATTTGTTTTTCTCATGTCCTATTAATGTTTCACCAGCATTGTTCTAAACTTAATTGGTGTCTAGAAAAAATCCACACATGTTTGTGTACTTTATCTCTTGCTTCTGTTATGTTTTTTTTAAATCTCAATATGTAATTGGTTCAGACACCATTATTTTGTAGGAATTATCACAGAAAGTAGTCAAAATGGTAGGAAAATTGAAAAATTGTGTGAGAGTATCAAAAAAGTGTTTATGCCTTGTTTAGCTTGTATGAAAGAAAACCCACTGAGGAGAGAAATATCGTAATTTCCTAAACGCATCTGGGTGGAATAAAGTTGTTGATTGGCTAGTATTTTTGGAGTCTGTGGATGTGATAATTCCTAGAAAATAAAGGTGTTTGAACCAATTACCCATTGAGATGTTCGTGTGACAGCCTTTTCTTTAGAAAAAGAAAACTCTGAATGTAGTATTTGAATGGTGATGAAAAGCTGTACATTATCTTTTGTTTTTGTAATTGTACAAGTTTCCATTGTCGAACACAATTCAATATGGTCAATTCAACTTTGGGCATGCAGTGCAAGTTTCTGTTTAAGACTTGGTTCATATTTTTCAGACAGTACTTAATGTAATTGATTGGTTGATCCTTTTCGTGAATGTTCGCCTTAAGAATTGCCCATAAATCCTCATTTTTTTCAGTTCGGTAGACTATCATCTTGCAAGCTGCAGATGATAGTCTACCGAACTGAAAATCGGATTAAAGAGACAAATTCACAACGAAAATAGCAGCAGCCGTAAGTGATTTTCCGCATAAATCCTCAATTGGCCTAATTTCTGGCATGTTTGTTGGTCATCTTCCTTTTTCGATGAAGATATTTTCTCGTCACAGGTAGTTAGGTACAGTTTTGGCATAGTGGAAATTTGATCTGATCAGAACATGTAATCTGCTTGAGAATAGTTCTTTTGAATATAAGGAATTGGGCAATGTTGTACACATTCATTTAAATATTGCCAGACATTGATGTCAAAACTTGATTTTCTGGTTAGGACTGTAATTAGAGAGGTTGAGGCAGACGTTTTAAACGTGTAAACATGTAGGTCGGACGTTCGGCGCCACTTTCCCGTAAGCCTAAAAGTTTGACAATGGTGTTTGGATAGTCGGTGGAATCACGCTCGACATTCCAAACACCATCGTCAAACTTCTAGGCTTACGGGAAAGCGGCACCGAACATCCGTCCTACACGTTTAATATTGAATTTTACGTATATAAAAGAAGTCGGATAACTTGATATAACCTGTTATGTGAGACAATACCAATTTTCTGGTTATTACTGTTCTTTTGGCATGGATGCATTTGGCTCTGTTTATTAAATATCTGAGGTGATTATGATGTAATAGTAGCCATTCTAGTGTGGCTTTTAGTTGTGCAACAGTGACATACATCACTTTCTTCATTACAATATAGTTAAGTTCTTTTTCTAGTAGACTTCTTTGTCTTCTGATTCTGAAGAATGGATTCTCTAACAAATTTACACAATAATTTGTATAAACACAATAAAAAAAAAAGCAGCTATCGACAGTATATGATATGATTAATGAGTAACAAATAAAATACATTTTTGAAGAGGAAGTCCATATTCATTCTTTACGAGAACTCTTAAATAGCTGTGATTCTGATCTTCAATGTTTCCATTTTAAAATTCACAAGATGATCTTGAATAAATCTTGTATCTCCAGTACGTTACAAAACCTGATTTTTATTTTAAATTCAAAAGATATATCTTTAATTACAAG